CTTGTCCCAAAACTTCAGAGACAATTCGTTCGTTTCGCGAGAGTCATCCCGTTGGAGCACGGCGTCCGCCCCGGGGCGGGTGTTCCAACCAAGACTTTAATTAGCCCGAAAACAATCGCTCGTTCTTGCCGGAACGCGTTCACGGTCTCGCGTCTTTTCATCGTCGCCGTGCGGAGCTAATCCCGGAGGGTCCTCGAAAAGATTCTTTTCAACCGGACCTCGTCACCCCGGGGACCTGCTTTCTTGCCCTCTCGCGAAAGAAGACCGCGATGGTTCAACCCATCTTTGATATTTTCACAGCAATTTTATCAGAATCGATAGTCAAAGCGATCTCCATCTGTGTCTACCGATTCTCAATGAAGAAAAATGGGCGGTTTTACTGCAAAAACACCTAGATGTTTCAAGATAGTCTCTGTCCAGAAGATCGACGTGTCTGGTTACGCGAGAAGAGATTTACTCTTTTTGATAAAATTGTGGGCGCGTTGGAAATATTTCGAAAAGTATTTAGCAGGTATTTACGAGATCAAGCGCGAGTGGAGGAGGGTCGAACCGCGGCGGAAGGTTCGGTATGGTGTCGCGTTTGGAAACTGTGTCACGAGGGTTGCTCGTTTGGTACCAGCTCCGGAGCGATCCGCGAAAGGGTTGAAACGTTGGAAATTCCTCGCGCGGTTATATCGCGGGCACGGCAGACACAAAGGCGTGCACGGAAAACGCGGAATCGATCTGTCCCACCTTCGTAATACCGGCAACCCTCTCATGCATAATCATGAGAATGTATGACATACGTATGCCCTGGTTTTCCCTGGCCTCCTGCACCTCCTCCTCGTTCCCCTCCCCTCCTCCTACGCCCCCTCTTAGCACCGAAAGGATCGTTAGCACGAAGTAATGCCAGTGAAGGATATCCGTTCGAAAAGGTCAAGAGTCCACGCGAGGTCGCCGTGCCTCGCGGTTGATTCTTTCATTGTAACCCGCGCCATATTTTTCTTTTTTTTTTTTTCTCTCTCTCTCTTCCTTTTCATCCCTCGCTCGACCTACGAAAAAAAGGGAAAAAACCGGAGAACGGAACCCGAGTGGCCGGGGGGACGAAAGGTCCGAGGGATCTCGCGGGAGCACGTATCCCCGTTTTACCTTTGAAATCTTCATCCCGTCTCCTCGAGGGCTCCGATGCGAATCGCTAATGGAACGCTTATCCCTCCAAGTCCTGTAATGCCCGCTAAAACGCGACGTCATCTCTCTTTTTCGACGAGACACGCTGTGAAATATCGGCCCTGTTCCCACGCTGCTCTTTTCGTTAATTAACCCCCCTTCAGGTACGATTCGAGTCACGATTCGTCAAAGTGTACTGTTTCATTTTTTGAACTCGTTCGAACTCTGTTCATCGAATCAAAACCACTGTAAACAGTCAAGATTTTTAGAGTTTTCCATGAGAAAAGGGAGTAGAATTTTTATCCCGAAGCGTTACAGTCGATGAAGAATGAAGGTTTTGTGTCGTATGCCTCGAACATACACTCTCAGCCATGTCAGAACTTGTTTTCCTTGATTTCTAAATGTGCTCAAACGCATTAGTGTGTTTATTGTGTCCTCCGATAACGTTCGCTGCGTCGGCGGTTCTAAGACGTGGAAATGGGTGTGTTTTCCCAGCGACCGACGAGTGGGAGTCGTTAGGTGTGTCTCGTGTTTGCCCGGAAGAGAAACGTCTCTGGTTTTCCACCTACGCTTTGTCCGGAGATTTTTGAAACCCAATCTGCCTCGAGTTCTTAAATCAAATCAGCCCCCCCATTTTAAAAAACTCTATTTCGAGTAACAGTTAACATCAGACAATATTACTCCAATTACTCGATAGTTTATTAGCACATAATTAATTTAACAGATTGTCGAGACGATGAATAGCGTCGTTTCTAAGACGAGGTACTCCAGATAAGGCTTATCGATGATTACGACAGGGGTTCCCCAAATCGTCGATCAAGTTTGGCAAATATTAACCCTTTGCACACTTATGTCAAATCCTACACGACACTTTTTCAAGTCCAAACCATGGAGATATCGTGCACTTGAAAATTAAAAAATACAACAATAATGTAAATAAAACAGATATTTAATAGAATTTGTTTAAATTTGCCCTGCTTTTTAGCTAACGTAAATTTCAAATAAAACACTTAAAAGCTGCTGGTAACAAAATTCAAATATAATTCGGAGCGCAAAGGGTTAAATACAGAAAACATAAAATATCCTCCTACGACGCCCATGGTCGACGCCACAAGATCATTTGCGTGATTTCTTAGAAACAGTCTATCTCGACGAATGTTGTTTGCGAAGTATAAGGGAAGCCAAACGGAAAACACGGCCGTCAAAGTAATTGGGAGTATCCGGTGCCCGTGGAACGAATCAAATATCGGGAGTAATGGGCAGATATCGTGTTCGGAATCTTGCTGACTGTCGGTAGATTCGATCGAACCGAACACGTTAGCGCCTTTGTTGCTCGCTTCTCTCGATAACCGATGTAATCTCGAGGCCTTCGTGTTATCGGCTCTTCCATCGTTCTCTTGTCGTTCTGGTTGACGTATTCGGGATACCCGGAGATATTCGACTCGACTGTGAGCCGATTACACATGGAGAATCAGGGACAACGCGCAGGAATTATCCGCGAAACGCTGATCTCGATCGTCACAAGATCAGAAGTTAGTTTATCACGAGTTGAAGGAATACAAGATGAAAATGGGTTGAAATCACGGCTGTTCGAAAGTCGAATCTTCCGTTACCTTGCTCCTGGCAGGACCAACAATTTTCCTTCGATTCCTCAATTAGCTGTATTGGAATTGGGTGAAAAAGCAGGAGGCTTTGTTAGTAAAGATGAAACTTTATTCTGTGGTTTGGAAGGACGTCTTTACTCTGTTAAAACTGAACTAAAAGAAAATCTTGCGTCCACTTAAAAAGGAGAGAAACCATTGCCTGCATCATGTTTATTTCCCTGGCCCTCGTATGCAGACAATGGACAGTGTTTCTCACTGTTAGATTCAGTTTTGTAATGATTATTTATTAATAATCCAACAAGCTGCTCCCTCGACAACTAATTCTCACACTTGTGCGAGTCGCAATTTTCCATCAATGTCCACAGTTCCATAAACCACGTTTTCTCAATAATGTTCTCAGCGATTTCCTTCTCACGAAATCTTACATCGACCCTTCGCTTCTGAAACGATTAAAAAGAAATATGTACTCGTGTCCTCGAAGTAGCCGATCCATTCTCTGCAGTTCTCGATTTAGGCCCTCGTAATCGTAAAAGATTAAACTTTTCCACGTCGCGGAATCGAACGGGAGAAAAATTGAAAAAATTCCACACGCGGTTTGTATTTTACCTAGCGCGTCCACGGTATCTGTATCGAGGCTCCGGGCACTGTTATCGGTTTTGGCCACACATTGTTACGGGAACGATTTATGGTACGCAAAATCGTCGAAGTTGATACGCGCGGATTGCATTCCGCGTTTCGCTGCAGCCGAACGTAGAATTCGACGCCACATTCTTCGACGCATTGTTCCTCTCGCCTTCGAAATCGCGATCGTTGAGTTTCATACACGCGAATTCTTAAAACGCAAGGGTTAACACGATTTTAAGGGTGTTTGTAGAATTTTCGTAAGATTTACGGGGCGCGTGTCGATTATGGAGCCCTGGATCGTGCATAGATTTCGTCATTCGCTTTTTATCGCGGGGCAATTGCCACGGTACACGGACCGCCGATAAATTCCGGGAAACGAGATGAGCGTGGAGAACACGGGTACGATAACCCCGAGTGGACTCTTGACCCGCTTTCGTGGGGGGTTAACGTTTAATTCATAGTAACGTATCGTCGTCGTTGATTAGATTGTCGGCCGCGCGTCGTATCGATCCGCGATCGTTTAATTGGCGTCGTTAATCGGCGGCCCGAAAGCAGGCGACACACGTAGAAACGTCGAAAACGGCCATCAATCTCCGGCGGCGGGGAACTGGCCGGATCTGGGTCAACGGGGGCAAAAGTAACACACCGGCTGAATATCGCTATCGTAACTTCCTACCCCCCCCTGGTTCTCTGTAACTTTAACCCGCCTCGATAAGCTTGATCCCTTAAACTTCGCGATACCGAAAGTCCTCGGAAAGTTTCCACTTTCCAGCCAACATGCGCTAAACCGAATTATTGTTCGCGCTTTGAACACCCCCGCGAACCCGGAAACCGGCACTACGTAGCCTCGTTGGATAAAATATCTCCCCTAAAATACCTATTTTGTAGGCTTTCCCTCTGGTAACGTTATCCCAATGCATTACGAACCACTTTCCTAATTGGAATACGCGTAAACGACTTGGATACTTGTTTTCGATACGTCGATCACTTCTGTAACTTCTGTGCAACGACATTACGAATCACGAACAGTGAATTCTCAAATATCTTTAATAAATACACGAGTATTGTGTAATGACAAGCTGTTAGCTCTGTTCTGTCTAACAATAGAAACGAATCCTGTAGGAAGCTTTATTCTTGGACATTTTAAATAGCAGCCTCCCCATTGGCGGAGTCGATAAAAAGACGAAATCGATCGCCCGCGAACAGAGTGACCCCAAAGTGACCTTCACTCTCGAAACATATAGTATTCCTTTCAACTTATGTGCTCGTGGAATGATTGCGATCTGGAGTACTAATATCGTAAGCCACTCGCGTTTATCGTCTATCGTGATTTATTAAAGTCGCCTCAGGGTCACCTTACAGGTTGTTAAATTCGTCTTTTTATCCGCATTACGGAAAGTAGAGGGGGGGCTACGGTTTAAAAAATTCAAGATCACTTTGATATCTCCGAAAATAGAACAGCACGAGGGAAACGCTTTCGCTGGTGAAGTGCTTCGTTCTTCGAGATTCTAATTTTTAAGAGTTTTCCAAACAGTCCAGTGTACGACAGAGATTGGGGGGGGAAAGATATTAAATATAAATAAGAGTTTTACATTTTATCGTTCGAGTAAAATTGCCTCGGTAAATAAAAATAAACGACGGGCATATTGCGGGAGGAACGAGAAAGTTACGAGGACTCCGTCGCGACGCAAATCTGATCGAGCAGGGTGATTCGTGGGCCACGTAAAACGGGTAGGTCTCCGGCTAACGACCAACCGATGGCAATAAAAGATAACACGGAAAGGAACTGTTCGTCGTTACGGAGAACGCGAACGAACAAGGTCGTCTTTTCGGCCCCGCGATTCCTCCGTGACCTCCCCAAGCTCTGTACGACCAATAATTGAAATTAATTACATTTCGTTAGCAGACACAATCCCCCCATTGTTCGTCACGGAAGTGTGATTAATGCTTCTCTCCGCGTTGCTGTAACCTGCCCTTTGTTTCCGTTCGTGCACGGCCGCGTCGACATTTCATAAAACAGCACCTGCACCTTTGTTCCCGATCGTCCCGCAGCGAGACGCGTTCCCCAACGTGACAACAATAATTCATCGATATTATCGAACACCGACCGCGGGTACACGCCTCCCCCTATGAATAATTTCTTCAATATCAACGCTTCGAATCCATAAAATGGGCGGAAGAATCGAAGTCTCGAGAGTCTTTTGGGAATAAAACGAAATATTTTCCAGTTTTGATCCAACATGAAATTTCAACGTGTCTCGCAACGGTTGCGTGGTCCTCGATCATTTATTTTTCTCACGCCCCAGCGTCGTCGTCGCGAAATGTTAATTCACCGTTTAGGAAAAGCTGCACGTATCGCGCGAATATCAATGGCTCCGTTCCTCGTTTCGTACGCGTGTCGAGCCGAAAACGAGGCGCGACCGCTTCCATTGTTCATCCCGCCGCGGTCCGCGTAGGATTTAGTCGGAGAAGGCGCCCCGTGTAATTTCATTTTTTCCGTGGACGAGGGGTTAAATCTGTTGATGTTTCGGCGAAAGACGGACCTCGTGACGAGCGAGCGATGCGACGGTGAACGGAAAATGGTTCGTTGATCGGGTAAAAAGTTGACCGAGCCAGGGACCGATCGTGGGAGGAATTATGCCGGACAAAAATCGAGGATGTCGGGATGGACAACGCGACAAAGATTTCTTTGCCGACGAGATATCGTCCATCGGCATGTCGCTGCGGCCCAGCGGCAGCGCCTCTTCCGGTAAGTAAACGCCACAGCGGACGGGCAATTAGCCTGATGATTAGCGATGTTTACGCACACTCGACTGATCGAACGAGTAATAAATACTTCCGGCGAGTAGCTAGACGAATATCAATCCCTTCCGTACGGACGAAGGAGCTGGCTGTTTCCGTGATTCGCGGCAGGATCGAAAAGACCGGAAGTACTGGCTTTACAACCCACGTTCAAATTGTCAGCTTTGCTAACCACCACCAAACGCATTTATTATTCATTTGCAAAGAGAAAATAATTAAAATAAATAGAGTTCAAGGTAATAACACGTGAGAGGAAATAAAAGACCCCGGGAACAGCTCGTTTACTTTGCGGTCAGACTTTGAATCTCTTGCTTTTCCAATGTTTTCCTACGGTCCCTTTCACGTACTTCCGCGGTATAATTTGTAATTTATGCTAATTACTCTCCTGCATATCCGGATTAATTACACTCCCTTTGCGCTAGACCTTCCAGCGGTTTGGACTTCGTCTTGGTTTCGAAACGGTACGACAAATTGAAATTAGAGGGAATAATTTTAGTTTGCGAATTAAAATATAATCCCCCGTTTCTCTTCTTTCGACTAATTGTGCGTTTAAAGAGGGCTTCGGTGAAAGGGGGTCGAAACACGTCGGCTAAAGAAATTACCGTCGATCGATGTGGACTTACCACGTGTCCATACCACAAGTTTGTATTCGTAGTCATTTTGATTAGCAGCGCCATGACCGCTTTTAACGTTACAACGTTCTGTGTTCTTTTCGATCCTTCCGACGAATCATTTTTATACGATTTTCGAACGAAATGCCGCTTGATAGAAGCTTTGATCTTAGCACCTGCCCAGTTGCAACACTCTTTGCACCCGTTTGTTTCGCAAGGATCAAAACAAGACACACCGTCTACACCATCAACGTTCAAACATATTTATTTTGAAACTCCCAACATCTTGTAGGAACATACACAATTTAGCGCGAGCCGGTAAATTAGAAATTATGTACAAACTCGGTTCTCAGACAACTGACTTGGCGCTACGCAAATATAGCAGGAGTTGTTTGATCATGTTTCCATTGGTGTTCGTCGTGTATTTCCGTGTCTCGTTATCTATGCATCTCGTTAAAAGATTCCTCATGTTCGCGCACTCCGCGGACACGGACAGTGGATAGGATACCGCAGTGCTCAGGCCCGTTCGTAGCTGGCTGAATAGATTCAGGATAACGCATTCTTTCATCAGGACCTCGGATTCGGCAACGACCGGGTCGTCCATGGCGCAGCGCCAAAGCAGCTTGTCCAACCACATCTCCTTCTCGCTGTGCTCGGTCTTGTAGCTCACGCCGTGATCCCGCATCCACAGAGTCAGCTGTAGGCAAATCGATAGGCTTAAACAGGCTCGCGCTGAGATCGATAACTCGATCGCGATACTTTGAACACGTCGAAACGTTCTTACTCGATGGAAAACCACCTCCAGACCTCCATTATCGACCAACGAGCAACGTAGCATTCCATTTAAGAAAAAACAATCATTTTTAGATGATTCTTACCTTTCCACGACACCTGAAAGTCAGGGGATTCCCAAAGAAGTACAGCTTATCGATGCCTCCTGGTAACCCGGTCGGTTCCAAGCATGTCAGACGGTTTTCTCTGACGTCGAGGCGCTTGAGGAGCGGCAGTTTGGCAAAAATCGCTGGCTGGAGCACGGTGATCCGATTGAAGGACAGATCCAGTTGCTCCAGATAGACCAGATCCTTGAACCATTCCACCTTCGTTTCCGTTATGTTGTCGAGGGGCAGGCTGAGCTTCCTCAAGTTGGACAGCTGCTCGAACGCGTCCGAGTTTATGTCACGCATCTCACACTTGTGAATGTTCAACGATTGCAAGCTTCTCGCGTACTTCGCGAACGCTCCCTTGGAGATGTATCGCAGATTCGAGTTGAAGATCATTATCGCCGACACGTCCGTCGACGTTTGATTCAGCACCTCGTTCATGGTGACGTTCGAGCATTGTATACGATCGCTGGGATCTGTGCATTTTTTAAATGTTTGAATTAGGATCAGTCTCGATATCAAAGTAATTGGAATCTACGGGTCTTCTGGCTCTAATGTCAAATTATTAGTTGGAATGGAACACTTCATTTTCTCCTTTGACTCACCGGTCGCACGAACGAACTCGAATAAATGTCACCTCACCTTTCTCGTGTTTGCTCACGGTGCATATCGCGAGCACGACACCGATGTACCTGGAAATACACAGCAGACCAAAAAACGACGCGCAGCGCATTCTGAGTGGCGTGTGTGGCAGCTCTCGACGGTTCGTCACGAATGACGACGCGACGAAAGCGGACGCGAAGAACCAGGATTTATCTGCAATACGCTTCCCGTTTTCTGTCACAGATACGCGTCGCTATCTGCTCGATTCCTATGAGCCAATTAATTAAAAAAAAAAAAAAGAAACGATAATTGCTCGTCTCGGTGGCGCGACGGAATTTCCCTAATAATTGCTTCCTCATAAAATTCTATTTCGATAGAAAATCCGATGTTTCAAAGCACTCTGTTCCCCGAGGTAGTTCGAAAGTTGTTAATTGCGCCACTGACAATCGGCGTTACCTCGCATGGATTCGTTGATTCGTTGTTGCGTTCGGTGATTGCGTGGGGAACGAGGGCAGAGAATCAAAAAACCATTGAAATTTTGCAGGGATTTCAACCCTCGCGAGCTGCGGCGAGGTCGAGGCGTTACCGGAACTGCCGCCGCAGGACGAGGAACGTTTGCAACGCGCCGCACGTTTGCTGCAACAGAGGCTCGTTTTGCGCCAGTGGCTGATAGATCATGACCTGCACAGCTATTACCAAAAGTGAGCAATTTATCCCAAAAATTTCGTTCACCGAACGTTACTCAATTACGTAAACAATGAAAACACCACCCAACAGTCGCTGATATTAAATTAACACATTGACTTTTCACCAAGGAGTTAAAACAATTAAATCTCAAGATGAGATGTCGAAGAAAATAAAGCTAGGTAGATACCTTGAATGTTAACGAGTCTACAAAAAATAAATTCCATGAGAAATTCTTGGTACGCTAGTTTGGAATTGTCTAAAAGCAAAATTTAATTTTAGGGATTTCGTTTGGCAGTCAACGTGTTAAATCGACGAGACCTTTTTTTAACGCTTACATTTTTCTGTCGAATTCTTATTTACCCGGAAATCGCGGTGGACGTGCATTTTTTGGGTAACAATAGGCAGAGCAAACAGCTCGGTTACGTCCGTAGCGTTTGTGTTTATTGACCAGAGCTGGCAGAGAAAAGACCGGGGGGATAGATCTGTTTTTGTTTCGTTAGACTGATGCAGATGGAAGTGATGTCTCTGGAGGACGTGTACTGGGTGGAGGATAATGCGGCACGGGCGGCTCTTGGCAAGGATCTACAGCGATGGATACAGGCCAGACAGACGCTGCCCACATCGAAGGAGGATTTAGAGACCCTCAAGGCCGATTTGTGGAGCGCCGTTGTAAAGAACAGTCAACACCAGGACGCCTGGACATGGGGTAACGTCGACTTCCAATATTCATAAGCCGTTCGTCTGAACGACTCGTTAGAACCGGGGGAAAAAAGAAAACATATTAATGAAACAGCGTTCGCTGTAGGGCTATAGAAGTGATATCTGTTTAATGCTATGCCCCGTCAGGTGGAATGTTAGTTGTTTCTGTGTCGGTGGCGGGGTTAGTGACCCTGGCTGCTATGACACAGCCGGCTCTAGCACCAGAGGCAAAACATTCCCTTCTGCAGTACGTGACTGGAAAGTATTTGCTACCGAGCAACTGTCGAGTTCACTTTGAATGGGACGAGCCGCAGCTCGTGGGAGAAACGATGACGTTCACCGTAAAGGTACTATTTCTTTCCCTCAAAATTTATCCGCGAGAACGAACAAACTACCCTCTTGTTGCTTGCAAGAATACTCTCAAATCCTAAAAAGGATCTTTCTGTTGACCGTGCTTGAGATGCACAGTACTGTCTCTCGAAACTTTTGCCCAACGTTGATTTCACGAGAGCGATTCACCGACAGTTTTACCAACGCAACGGGCAGCCGTATCCGATCTGCGACAAGGACAACTTAATAGTGGAGGTGACGGAAGGTTCGCGAAGGATAGCCACCCTGATAGAGCTTGGTGGCACTGATCCTTTGGCCGCGAACACCGCGGTGGTGAAGTTTACTGTCCGCCATGCTGGACAATATCGGATAGCCGTGCTTATCGGTTCGTGTCACGTTCACGGCAGCCCGTTTCTGAAGAACTTCCTCCCCGGTACGTGTTCGCGATATACAGCTCTATCGTCGAGCATCCTACAGCGTTGTTTGATCCACCAGGTCCTCCGGATCCGAACAAGACCGTCTTCGTGCGACAGAGTTCCACGGTGGTGTGCACCGCCGGGATCCCCCACAGTATGACGATAGAGCCACGGGACGAATATGACAATCTGTGTGTATTCTGGCCGGGGGACAAGCCCACGGAGGGCTACGAAGTGAATATTACTCAGGCAAGGATGGGACTCGAACGAACGATCGGACCTTGCTGCCCCTAATTTCTCAACGATCGTCTCCCTTTTTCTTTATTGCAGATCGGTAGCGTGTCGGACATGTCGGCTGTCACGAACTGTAGCATACAGCTGGACTACGATTATCCTAGTCAGAGGGTTTGTTTGAAAGTCAGCTTCCCCAAAGGTGGCTGCTATCACGCGACAGTCAGCTTGACTGGGCTGCAGCTGCACAACGGCGATTTCGACATCATTGTACTCGAGAGTACGAACCTAATCCCTTGCTAATGTTTGCTTCGAGTAAATTCGAACGATTTTAGTCTGATCTGTGCGTTAGAACGCACCTGGTGAAGGCTAAAAACGTTTTGATTTATTTTTATTCGACTTGAGCGTTTTTATGGGATGTTTTTACGATCGTTGCAAACTGTTGATCGCAGGTGATGTCGCGAGAATGGTGTACAGTAACGTCACTACGAAGGACCCAGATATATGTTACGCGGCGAAATTGTTGGGCATGCAGGGCGAGAAATTCTCGAAGCCGAAGAAAGTAGTCTGCTTCATTTCGCCGAAGCAGCTCACGATCAAAGAGTATTTGCTGAGAATTATACCGAAGAGGCTCGTTACTTTCAGGCTCTGCCCCTCGACCAAAGTGAGTCCGCGAGGCCTTAGGTTCGTCGCGGTGCAATAACTCGAATCGTGTAATTTACAGTTCCATTTCGATTGCTCGAACAACGAGTACAACGGTTACGACTCCTTTTCTATCGACGATGGATGTCAGCCGCCCGTTGAACTGATTTCCCTCTATCGAGACATAATAGCCGCCACGTTTACGTTGTTCCTTTTGAAGAACATAGGCGGTAGCGAAACGTTCGCGGATAAGCAGGATTTCTTTTATCACGAGGTGCGAAAGCATCATCAGAAGCACTATCACGAGAAGCTTTCGATGAAGGTGCAACGGGACAAACTGTTGGAATCGGTAAATCGCGAGAAAATTAAGCAAACCAGTTTCAGCGACGATCTATCTCAATATCTATTATGTTTCTTCTCTTTTTAAGTCCATGAAAACCACCAAAGGATTCTCTGTGAGCGACTGGTGCAGAAACTTCGAGATCACCTTCCAAGGCGAACAAGGTACAAAAGCGTCGCATTTTTGGTAATTTATCCGGGGGAGGCGAACACCGTAGCTTTTCTCGTGTTCTTTTGTTCATCTTTGATTCGCGATTTCAGGTCTCGATTGGGGCGGCGTGCGACGAGAATGGTTCGAATTGATCTGCGCCTCGTTGTTCGATCCGGGAAACGGATTGTTCGCCTGTTTCGGTGAATCGCCGCAGGCACTGGTGCATCCCAACAACAGACGGCCTACGCATCTCAAGCTGAAGCATTACGAGTTCGCGGGTCGCATCGTGGGCAAATGCCTCTACGAGTCCGCGCTGGGCGGTTTCTATCGACAATTAGTCCGCGCGAGGTTCACGAGATCCTTCCTCGCGCAGATCATAGGCCTCAGAGTGCATTACAAGGTAAAACAATTACTATGGAGCGAATCACTAAGAAACAGGAACTAAAAATAGCCACTTGGTCGAAGGATAGAACTTCGAATAACTTTCACGAGACAGAGTTTAGAAAACGCCGTAGTAATTTTCTGTTTCGAATTTCTATTCACCGCAAGCAGTACTTCGAACAGGACGACCCGGACTTGTATCTGAGTAAGATAAAGTACATTCTCGAGAACGACGTGGAGGAAATGGAATTGTATTTCGTCGAGGAGGAGTACGACAAAGACGGTCAATTATTAAAGGTACGTTACGATGTTCTCATCCCGAGAATCTGCTCGACTACGTGTGTTCTCCGTTGCAGGTAGCCGAATTAATTCCTGGCGGTAGCAAGGTTCGCGTTACCAACGACACCAAGTTACGTTATTTGGACGCTCTAGCGCAACACAGGCTCGCCAGTTCCATCAGAAACGAGGTGGAGCATTTTCTACGCGGGTTGAACGAGCTCATTCCCGACAACCTTTTGGGAATATTCGACGAGAACGAACTCGAGGTACGCAGACTGTGAATCGTGACTGTATTTATCAATTTGATGTCTTCGACCATGTGCTTGCATAGGAATTATTCGTTGCAGTTACTGTTGTGCGGTACCGGCGAGTACAGCGTGGCCGATTTACGCGCGCACCACATAGCCAACGGAAGTTCGCCGGAGTTTCTTCGAGTTCTGGATTGGTTCTGGACCGCGGTCAGTAACTTCACGCAGGAGGAGATGGCCCGATTACTGCAATTCACCACGGGCTGCTCGCAATTACCGCCCGGTGGATTTCAACAGCTGAGCCCGAAATTTCAGATCACAGCCGCACCGACTTTTGCTAACTTGCCAACAGCACACACTTGGTACGTCCCTGCATCGATCTAGACGCAAGATGTCTTCGACGATTAACGTTTACATTGACTCTTTGCAGCTTCAATCAACTCTGCTTGCCCGATTACGAGTGTTACGATCACTTCGAACGAGCATTATTGCTGGCGATCAGCGAAGGTACCGAGGGTTTTGGTATGATCTAAAAAGAAAGATTCAACGTCCAATCGTTTCTAGTCCTCAACCGTTATGGTATTGAACCAGTTATTTATTTATCGATTTTCGTTCGTCTTGACGACGTAGTTTTGTTTCGAGACCTCTCCCCATTTCACGGGATCAGAGAGAAAAAAACCAAATACGACACTTGTCGCACATTTTGATACGCGAACAGCCGGGATTTTTGAAAATTGTCCTTTTTTACGTTTACCGCCGAATGACTATCAATGAACAATCCACGATCCTTGAGAACGTAAACGAACTGTATATTGATATTTTTACTGGCTCGCGATAACGTTTTATACGAAACAGTGATACGGAAGAGCAATTTCACACGGAACATCTAAATTGCTCAATTTATCGCGTCGAGGTTCGTTGTAGTTTAAAAAGTAATGTAAATTTTCTTACGCGCGAACGGTGGACTTCGAGTACGCGCTAGTTTCCCCTTTTTGTAGTCGCTGAAGTAGACGGGAATAGCCGTGTTCAGATTCTTTTGATTCGTACGCAGATAAAGGAATATATACTCTTCGATCGTCGCGCTACGAAGGTGAACACCGAGGCAAGGAAAGTAACATGCATACTCGAGGACGTAACTCATTCTCTCATATCGACGCTACGCAATTCTTCGGTTCTCGCTACAAGTTATCCGATAAAGAAACGAAAAAATGAATACTCGTGCAATATATAATGAACCAAAGACGAAGGACGATAGCTTTAGGCTTCTCCGTAGACGTAATATCGTCCGAGAGATTTGTTGATTAGTGCGTATACGTAGTACGAAACCTCATGATACTTCGAATTAATAAACACCGCGTCGTTTTTCTTTTCTTATCTCTGATAGGGACAGCGAGTTTTTCTCAGTCTCGAAAATTAAAGAGCAATACGTTGGTCGCGATTGATAATACGCAATAAATGATACTTTAGGTCGACTAGTGAGAATTACATGCTACACTTAACGCGCTCGTGCACGAAACGATTTTGTGATAAACGAACAAACGAATCTTCCATTGAAAAAAAATTGATTATCTTCGAGCCAGGGGATGCCCGTGCCGCAATGGCGAAGTGTTTTGCGAAAGGCGTCACGCCGCAGGGACGACGACGATGTTGTTACCAAACGAAACGAGAAATCATAATTTTATCTGGTACTTAAGTACACAATAAAGAGAAATGTGATCAGACACGTCGTACTTGTGTCACACGTACGTGGGTTACTTAGGATTTAACCGGTCTATTGTAACGTGTTTTGAAAAAAATAATATACCGTGAGCATTTTTTTTTGTTAAATCCGTATACGTAATCGTTATGTAAAACACGCACTAACCACGATTGTGTGTACATATATACTTATCGATTATGCAAATGTATTTGTTATTCGCTTTGTAACGTATTGGATTATATAACGCCTAGGAATGCTGACGGTACCTTATTTTTGTCACTTTATCATGTTACACGGACAAACAAAGTGTAAAATATAGATTAAAAACGGCATACGATATCGATATTTATTTCGTCCGCAAGGAAATGTTGCACAGTTTCCAATCATTCCCAAGTTTCTCCGTTCCTCTCGATTCAATATATTATATATAATTAGTACAAAGTCTCGCGTAGTGACAGGTATATGAAATAAAAAAAAAAAAAATAAACAAAAATAAAGTATAATTTGAGAAATACAAAATGCCGGCAAATTTGCGAATGTTTCGAAACTGTTGTCCGTTTTTTCTCGACCTTCCTCGTTCCGAGTCTCAATGCAACTCTTCCTCCCTCGACTCGCGTCCAGCATTTCCGTTCCGAACGATCATTGTCATCAACCTCGAAGTTCCACTTCTCAAACAACATTAAAGTTTCATTTCAAAGAAAACTTTAAAACGTGGTGCAGTATTGCCCGAACAGCTGCACCTAATTAACATGCAAAGGTAATGAGAACGGTGTATAGGGGATGTCCAATGAGAACGATAGAATTTGCGATTGTCGCGGCCGCCATATTTGTTACTCGCTCGTTCGAGTCGAGTGGCATTTGTATTCAGTAGTACTTTACAAGTCATCGTGGAGAGGCACACAGTTGCTCAACGCGTTGAAATTATTAAAATTTATTAACAACGTTAGTGTTCAGCTCGAACTACGTTCCCAGCACTTTGATTCGTTTAGTGTACGCAGGATTATCTTGTTCCATTCAAAATTCTATCACTCTCATCGAAAAAACCGCTATAAACGTAGCGCCCTCTGTCGCTAAAGGGTTAGACTATTGCAACTACCTTAAGAAGTCAATGCTGGACTCGTGGTTGACAACAAAGTACGCAAAATAACCCCCGGTACGCGGGCAACGGTGCCAGCAATTTGCAACATTCTGCTACACCACCTGCTATCTTCGGATTGCCGTATCAGACGTTCCCTCAACTCGTTCACTTCCACTCTAAAATCATAGCCTCAAAATAACTATTTACGAGCCGCCATATCGTCTATTAACCACTTTGTTACAAAATAAACGTACTGTTGCGAATTGCATAGTTCCTCCATACGACACAAAGCTGTCTCGCGATCAGACAGTCGCGCCTCTAGGACCACTGCTCGTAAGTTTAAGGATTTTACCGTGTCCTCGCTCATTTTCAAGCGTTTTTCCAATTTTAACTTCTCGTCTTCCTTAGTTTTCACTTCCCTGCGAACGCAACGTTTGCATAAGACCCATATAGCCCAATCGATGATCGATACGATCCTAATATCACAGACGAGGTATACGAGTAGACAATTGGAAAACTTCAGGGAAACATTTCTAGCCTCACATTATATTTTCAGTAATGAATTTTTTTCTTGAAAATGGTTAGGATTACGGGGGTATGTCTATTAACCAAAAATGATTGAAATTGACCCCTGCGACCGAAAATATATTTTCCAGAACGATTTGAAAATTTTTAAATAGTCGAAAAATTTCCCAACTTCTCGAATTTTTTTCTCGAAAGTGTGTAGGATTTCGGGGGTATATATATTCACCAAAAATGATTGTAATTGACCCCTGCGACCGAAAATAATTTTTTCAGAACGATTTGAAAATTTTTTTTTCCTCCGAAAAATTTCACACATTCTCGAATTTTTTTCTCGAAAATGGTTAAGATTTTGGGGGTATGTCTATTCACCAAAAATGATTGCAATTGACCCCCGTACCCGAAAATAATTTTTCCAAAATGATTTGAAATTTTTTAAATTTATCGAAAAATTTCCCAACTTCTCGAATTTTTTTCTCGAAAGTGTGTAGGATTTCGGAGGTATGTCTATTCACCTAAAATAATTGTAATTGACCCCTGCGACCGAAAATATTTTTTTCAGAACGATTTGAAAAATTTTTTTTTCGCGTTTAAAAATGTAATTTTTATTTTTTAATTTCAGGTCGATAAGGCAGTCAGATTGGTCCACGATTGTCCATAAGGTGTAAGGTCTGCTCGTGTACCTCGTCTATGGTAATATTACTTGATGTATCGTTGAATCTGTTGCTGCGAGGACTCGTTGAGGGCGATCTGTTTAGCTAATCTCAATTGCAACTCTTCTATGGCCGAGTTCGCCTTCTCTGCTCTAGCCTCTTGTTCCGTGACCAACGTCTCGCAGATCGTCACCTGAGCGTACCATTAACATTTCAAACTTCTCCACCGAGTATCGCGAGCGCAATAATTATTCAAACACGAGCCACGAGAAAGCGAACGATCGATACTTCATTGGTCTATCAAGATCCATGTCACGAATAGTTCTATAGCGTGAACCTTTCGCGATAACGTTATAACAATTTTCGTGACTATTCCACGACGGTCGAGAGTTAATAGGTCGAGCGGTATCGATCCCCGTTTCTCGGTACGGAAGGAGTATTACACGTTATTGAGTCACCGATGAAGCAGAAAAGGCGTGACTCAACTTTGCACTGCAACCTTCGGTGCGTTGACCTACCTAGCACGAGCAGCAAGTGCATTAATTTCCGATTCGTATCCTTGGTCTATAGTTATTCGCCAAAACTTCGATCCCAAAGTTACAATTGCATTACTCCACGAATTATAATTACAAAATCATTTCGTTGCAATTAGGAATTACCAGATGAGAACTCAAAGTTAAATATTGCAAAGATTGATTTAGAGGATTGGGAAACAGGTCGATCCAAGGGATTAGCATCGTTTCTCTGAACTCGAAGGGCGATAGGGTGAGTCATTGTTTCGTAGAAGGCGATAGAAATTCGCTACGAGGGTTCACCCTCTTTGCAGACTCGTCTCCGGCGAGCACAACAATGACTCATTCTGTGTAATCAATTTTCGCATCGTCACGGAGTGGAAACTTGCGAGCAATGGCACGAGTTACGCTCCGTGGACGCAAACATCGATGACTATCACCTGGTTCGATCGCATTTGCCCGAGCTACGCGCCTGGACTTTCATCCTTAAACGGTTTTTGAGCAAACTCAGCAAAGGCAACAGCGAAAAAAATAAAGGGGCGACCCGGTACCAAAATTTGCAAAATCTTTGAATCGTGTACAAAGAGAACGAATCCTAGCCTTTTCCAGAAGCAATCTTTTGTCCTCTCGTAGCTTCAACAGCTTCTCCCGGTCCCTAGTGATCTGCTCGTCGAACCCACGGATCTGATTTTGCGCGGTTAGCAGCTCGTTTCGCACGTTCTCCGCCGCGACCAGCCTCTCTTCCGAGACAGCGCTCAGACGCGTCATCTCCTCCGCCATTTTCTCCTTTTCCTGCAACCGAACGGTAATCCAATTCGTGAGAATATATACCGCGTAGCGCGGTTCCGTAAACGCACGAAATTATCTAGAACAAGATCCGCCAGTTTTCTCTATTCCGATGCGCCAACGGTTGCCGGCGATACGATACAGTTTCTTCTTTCGTTTCACAATTAGCCACTGGACCAGTGCCAGCTCCGCGCGTGCGTGTACCGCGCACACGCTAATTAATGGCTCGGTACGACGCACTTTCATATATCGAGCGATCGGCGAAAGTTCAGTCCGCCTTGGGAAAATTCGTGTCGCGTTCTGACGAAAATTGCAAAACCGTCGCGTTAACGAAAGGAATTAAAACGATACAAAAAATGATAAAAAGGTTAGAATTTCGCTGAACGATTGCTTTCTGCGCGGGAGAAATACCACGGAATGGTGCCAAAATTATTGGAGGCCCCTGGCTCGATGATCCGAGGAACTCCAAAAATTCCATTCTTTCGGCTACCGAGTTATCGTATGGCCCCAAAACATGTGTCGCGAGCTCTTACGCTAGCGTCATCCCCCCAGATAGATACACGTCATTGAACTCTCGCGTTCACCGGCCAGAAGACGCTATAGGCACGTATAACTGACACTCGTCGTCTGTCCGTCGCACTACCGTTTCGTAACACGAGCAACAGGGGACCTGTTGTTTTTGGCAACATTGTAAATGTACAATGACTTGTAATTACGAATACACGAACGAAAATCAGACCAATAACAAATAAAGAAGCTCCTGAGAAGTACTAACGAACTAAAAAATTATAATGGGAGACTCTAGAGGCCAAAATAAGACGAAAATCAAGAATATCAATTTCTTGATTGAGGCTTCTTTAAAAAGCTATTAAAAAATTAAATTAAAAACTTTCAAATCGTTTTGAAAAAATTATTTTCGGTTGCGGGGGTCGATTACAATCATTTTTTGTCAACACACATACCCTCGATATCATACGCAGTTTCGAGAAAAAAATTCTTTACCGAAACGACTTTTTCAATGGCGTCTCAAAAGCTAGTTACGCGCCATATTGCAAAATTTACCGTCTTCAACGTGTTCTTTTCTTTCGTTGTTTCGTCATGTTGCTCCCTAACGTATTGAACCTCGTGTGTCAGTTTACCGACACGATTGTTCTCCGTGTCGATCAACCGACGCAGCACGAATATCTGCAGATGCAGGTGTTTGATTTCCTGGTCCAGATCGTCGATCGTATCGCGAAGATAGAGCACCTCGCTGCGTCTGCGCCTCCAGGCGTTCAGCACGAGCACGTGGAACACCAAGCTCGCCGCTTTTCTTGGGTTTTTGAAGAGCTGCGAGCCCCCCTCCTCGGACTCCGACGACGCGAAACCGTCCATCCAGGTTTTTATACCCGATCCTATACCACTGTCGTTTCCCGCGTAAATCTTGTGCCCCTCCTCCAGCCTCTCCAACGTTGAACTACTGTCCGACCTGTGACAACGACCACGACAAAATTACACGTTTAACTGTCTCGAAAAGGACGAACGAGAATCTCGGCGTTTATCGTAGATTCGCGTATCCGATGACGTTGGCGATTTTACCTAAGGTCAGCATTCTCTGCCTCCATTACCGACTGCGAGAGATCGATCAAGGATAAGCTCTTTTTGCAGGGGGGCGTACCGATCACGCGAAACATCGAACCGCACGTGGCATTTTCCGGGCAGCTTTTCGCCGTGTTTATCGAGGACGTGCAATTGATCGTCCCGAGGCCGGCCAGTCGGAAGGAGGTCCTCGGCGGACGGTAATACGGGCTAGGTCTCTGACATCTTACGGGAAGCTGGGAGTACGTGTGAAATTTATGTCGTACGCATCGTGGCAGCCTCTTTTCCACAAAAAAGCGGCAACGGTCCTCCCTGTAGCTGGTCGATGCGCCCCGGGAGCATGGACTTTTCGGCGTGATCGCAGTTTCTGGCATCGCTTGCGGCATTCTCGATTAAATGGTCTTTACAAAAGCAATGCACGGTTTGTTTGTCCTCGTCATGGAGACGAAACTGGCTGCCCCGTAGCGCGACAAAAGTGCATCGCCACTCGCCTTTCGTCGCTTTCCGTTCGGAAATGATACGCGACGACGGAAACGATCTTCTCTCGAGTTTCCATCGGGTTCATATTCGAATCTTTAGATTTATTTATTGCATTCAGAGGAACGTATACATTAGAAAAAAGCAAAGACTAAATTGCAATCCTTCGTACCAATTTATCCATGATCATTGTTATGGTTCGATACGCCATCTATGGAAAATGTCAGGTAATTTATCCTCATGAAATCCCGCGTTTAATTTCATCCTAACCACAAAACTGAGATTCTCGAGAACGATAACGCGTGTGAAAATGTTTCATTCCACTTCGTTGGTTTATTTTTTCAAGCATTCGGATTATCCCCCCTAATTAACTAATCCCGCCATAAGTTGAAGGGGGTTAGGTTTTTTCTTCCAGTAGATGGGAATGCAGAATTAATTTATAGGAATATTGGTTCATATTATCAATAAATTTGTAATAGAACATTGTACATCGAAATCAGTGTTAATATTTGTTCATATGCCATAACGTATGTCCGGTTATGCTCGTCGCTGTGAATGTGTTATCGTTCGAACATTTTCGTGTGCCTGTGTACGTTTCTCATCAACAACCTTGCGATGCCCGTTCGATAAGTTCAATTATTTCTAACAAGGCATGCGAACTGTCGCGCGACTACGTGCCCCGAACATACCGTTTCCTGGAATCGTATATATCAAATACACCTACGACACGGAAAACGATTAGAACTTATATAACGTATAGATCTGACTTTGAGTGTACCTTAAACTGTTAACAGTTGACTCGATTCACGCCGCGGAACGTTGGATAAACTTAAACTCGCGCAGAAATGCAATTCTATCAACGACAGACTGAAATATTTCCAAAGGGAACGATCCAAGTTTACCGAGAAACCGTAGCCTTCGATTTGATAGAAATTCTGCAAACTCTATGGACATTTATAATTCCTCATAATGTTTTATTACACACGAATCGAAGTGTTTTCTATATTCACGAGCAAATCTACGATTACCTAATCCCCTATGATTTCGCATGATAAAACAGAATCATGTGACGTGTCGGTATGAGTCATCGCGCGCCAAAGTACCTAGGTACCGAGGAACTTCAATACGTCCCTGAATTTTAATCTATACACAAGTAAATTCAACGAACCTTAGACAAATATTAAAATATTTAGCACGTCCTTGTCAGAGGATACTGAACCAACGATGGGCCGTGAAAATACTCGAATAAAGAAATTTAATACACGTGTAACGCGAGCAAGTTAAAATTGAAAGTTTCCTGGTCCATCGAGCCGAACGCCCAATGGACCTCGACCCAGACTTCGATAGCCCGACACATTGGGCAAAATTCTTATCTAGATCGGAATATCAAATAAGAAATAAAAGATAAAGAACTTGTTATTGGTTAATGGTTGAATATAATTTAAAATTTAAATTATAGACTATCTATATATCGTATCTCGCGTTGTACGAACAAAAACTTATCCGAGCGAACGTGGCAAATAAATCTCTGCGTGTTCGATTTTGTTCGTCGCCTCGGTTGCTTGCAAAATTAGGGAGATAATAAGAACGGGAGGACGCGGTATTTATAAAATTCTGCGGAAGATTCGACTTTCTAGAAATATACCGAAAAAAACCGTGTATGCACGTATTATGTGCTGCACGGTTCGCTTGTTCAAAACCGTTTGGCCGTGAGAACCGTAGATTCGCGTCGAGTTGTGCGCGTACTCGCGCGTATCCACGGAGCATATGTATATCGTTTTGCTCCTACATCGTCGGAAGCGACGAAAGAGCATGCCAGTACCGATGCAAAGTCCGGGCGAAATGTTGTGTCGCGTTAAGTCTCGTTTCTAGTCACGGTCGTGCACGCTTTTGTGTCGCGTGCGAGTCGTGTGGTGCGCAGCGGCGATCGCCTACGCGATCAAACACATTTGAATCGTTGACTCGATATATTTTTACGTGTTTTCTGTTCGTTTTAGCAAGACATCGCGGAAATTCAGCGATCCCCGCTCGACAAGAAAAAAAAAAAAACAATCGCCGTGTTTTTCTTTCGAGTCCGAAGAAAGTGACTTACTATGTCGATCGTGCTGCAGGCAAGTCTTTCTCGTCACATTGTCCTACGATAGTTTAATTATAGCTGCACGGCTTGTACAGACCTAGGCTCTCCCAAAATAATGATTGGATCAGCGTAGCATGCCTCCTCGTCCTCTGCTCTCTCTTTCTCTCTCTCTCTCTCTCTCTCTCTCTCTCTCTCTCTTTCTATCTCGTCGTTTCTCTTCCCTTGGGACACTTGTGTTGCAGTGCCTCTGGAAGTATACCTGTGAACAGCTGTCGTTTCGCTAAGAGTTCACGACACGGGTAACTTCCGTCGATGCTCGTTCAACTTCCACGCTCGATCCTCTCGCGCTGGTGCTAATAAAAGGAAATTACGCCTAACTCGGTTTGCGTTAATCGTCGCCCCGTATTGCGACATAAACACATTTTCCACGAATATGTTTGATACACAGTCTTGAATGCACAGTTTTCATTCGCACCGAATGAATCGATCGAGAAACTGATTCCTCTTCGCGCGATCGTCTCGTCTTCTTCTAGGTATCTATCGCTACCGTTTTGTATCTTTGTTCGTTTTAATAAAACGCGCGCGAAACTTTTTTCTGGCGCGATGCTGCGAGATGGGATTTCTGTGAAGCGAGTGTTCTCGGTTTTCCTGCTTCGATAAGTGTTCGCGATGCGTATTAATAAATAGAACGAACCTCTTCGATTCGTTTCGAGAAAATACAAGAAAAATTATTTTCCAGATGGCTACTGTTCAATGTACAAACCACTAATAGGCATGGAGCAATTCCATGGTTTGAGCGATGGAAATATAAATATAAGCGATGTCAGTAAGTATTGATAGGTTTGTTTGTGGTCTCGTGTTTGTTGCATTTTTTGAATTTTTCTTTTAACAATTTCATTGAACAGTTGAAGTCATCCAAACTACCGATCCTGGATTTGTGGAGTCTAGTGGAAGGGAGGATCAACAGCCAGTGGAGATGAATACCGACAGGCTATTGCCATACGTTGAAATAATCGAACAGCCAGCTAGCAAAGCTTTACGTTTTCGCTATGAGTGTGAAGGCAGATCTGCTGGTAGTATACCTGGTGTAAATAGTACACCGGAAAACAAAACATTTCCTAGCATAAGAGTGAGTACAGAAAGAATAAAAATATCTCTGAAAGATTGATTGTGTATAAAACCAAGTACTGTTCGGTGTAGATAGTGGGGTACAAAGGCCGTGCTGTAGTTGTAGTGTCGTGCGTGACAAAAGATCAACCGCACAGACCTCATCCTCACAACCTTGTTGGGAAGGAAGCTTGTAAACGTGGTGTTTGTACAGTAGAAGTTTCATCAGAAAATATGACAGTCACGTTTGCCAATCTTGGTATCCAATGTGTGAAGAAAAAGGACATTGAGGAGGCACTTAGAATACGAGAAGAAATTCGTGTAGATCCTTTTCGAAGTAGGTTGAAAATATGGTATATGTGATATATTTAACAAAGAGAGACAGTATAACAAGCAACTGTATATGATTCTTCAACAGCTGGCTTCGAACATAAGAGACAGCCCACTAGCATTGATTTAAATGCAGTGAGATTATGTTTTCAAGTTTTTCTACAAGGATCGCAGAAAGCAAAATTCAATGTACCGCTACCGCCAGTCGTGTCCGATCCTATATTTGATAAAAGTAAGGTTCCTTTAACCCCTTCCCGTACCATTTAGCTCGACGAAATCCGGGCCCAAACGGCAGGCGTCAACTAAACTGCTTTGCTGTGATTTGTTTCCGTTTGGGCCCAAATCTTTGTCACGAGTCGGACTCGTTAAAGTACGGGAAGGGGTTAACGATTATCCGTATGCAACTTTTGTTCAATTATCTGTCTGTATATGAAATATTTCAGAGGCAATGTCGGATCTTGTGATATGCAAGCTCAGTCACTGCAGCGCCTCGGTCGCTGGTGGTATGGAAATGATTTTATTGTGCGAGAAAGTTGCGAAGGAAGATATACAAGTACGATTTTTCGAGGAGAAGGACGGCCAAGTGATTTGGGAGGGATTTGGTGATTTTCAGCCTACTCATGTACATAAACAAGTATGTATCGTGTTTGCATTGTAAAATGATTTGTATCGTAACGATACGCTGAACGTAGGATCAATTTGTGTTAATAGACAGCAATCGCGTTCAGAACACCTACCTACCGTATTCAACAAGTAGAGCAGCCGGTACAAGTCTTCATTCAGCTTAGAAGACCATCGGATGGCGTAGCGAGCGAACCGCTACCGTTTGAGATGTTACCACTTGGCGCAGGTAGGCCTGCTTTCTGGTCATTGCGGAGAGCATTTGCCAGGAAAAAAACAGATTACAGCACGTTCGGTAAAATTTTAGCCACCGAATCGGCATTGCTATCGAACATTGCACCAAAATTTCCACGTAATATCGATGAGTTTAACAACAACAATAATAATAATTTTGATATAAAACAGTCTAACAATAAAATTTCCGCATTGCGCGCTTTAAATGACTTATACAACGTGAGAAATACATTAGACTCGTGCAACGGGAGTACCGAAATCAATCGAAATACCGCGCAAAGTGCAGATCACTTAAAGAACACTATAATAGATTACGAGAATAACGAAGTACCGATCCATACGGGAAAATGCACGGAAGACGAACAAATGAATAGAATATACAAAGTCGACGGTAACCCTGTAGACAAAGAAACAGTCAGCATTAATTCAGGAACTTTAACTCACGCTAAATCCGATACTGTCGCTATTAATGCAAACGTATTAAAAAACTCGCAACTTCCTAAAAATAAGTCCGACTGGTTCGATTACTCCGAAGTAGGTAAATGGGTACAAAAAGGTCAGTTGTGTCTCAAAGAGAAAAACAACGAGGCAGACTTTAAAACCGAGACGGAGGATTGCAATAAGTCGTTCAATGAATTGTTGACCCAAGTAGCCGAACTGGATCAGATTTATGCCGATACACACGCAAAGTTAGTGCAGGCGACCTTTGAGCAGAGTCCGACCGATCAGCCAATGGATATCGACGTTTGCGATAATCAGACTTACACTAGTCTGCAAATGGCTATGAAAAATCCTGTAGAGTTTATAGACGTACCGATCGAGAGAAAATACGAAGATGTGTCTATACCGAAAATAGATCTGCATCGTTCTTGTCCTTCGCCACCGGTAACTACCAAGAGAGATGGAACGCAAGAAACGGAGGAGAGATTGCCGCCATTGCCTCCTAAACGTATCCGAAAAATGCCTTCCATGCCTCTTCTACCTCGTCCCATATCCTCCCAGACATCACCCGAGTCGTTTATCGAAGCACCAAACAAAAATTTACCTTCCTTACCCGGTACACTGCCCAAGAGCTCGAAGCAAGGACTATTTTCGAAATTATTCGCTAAGAAAATAAAGAAAGACAAAGACTCTATCTCGAACGCGTCCAAAGACAGCAACACTTTGCTGAACACACCAGGAAATATTTCATATTTAACCAGGAACAATATGCCGGATGCATCGTTGTTGCAAAATCCAAGGACTAGCGCTACAAGTACCACTAGCGTTAAGTCCCTTAGATTAGAAGGTGACGAGACACCACCTTACGGAATGGAGTTAACAGAGGCTGAACATTATGCACTGTACACTGCAATGGCGCCACATGCAACGGCATCCGAATTTGACGAAATGTCTTTCTACTATAGCCCCGTAGAAGGCGGAAAGATATTCTCAGAAAAGAAGGAAACATAATTTGCTTTTCGTATTTAGAACGTTTGATAGAGTACTTCCACTTTAAAGTGCCATCTTTCATTTTTTAAACCAATATCGTAATGGCATGTTGACATATTTTAAAGGTGGTAAATATTTTGTGATCCATCGAATCTGTTACTTTGGTGTTTGCGATTTTCTGCAACTCGAATTCTCGCAGTTTTTGTACACACGCTACTCCGCGGTGTATTTGTGTTATGTATTAAAAATTGTTGATAAGAAACTTTGAGAACACATCATACTTGCCATATAAATGACAAGGTATCGTCGCGCCACCTTGATCAAAACTAACACTATTCTAGTCGAGGTACAAATTGTTATTCTTTTTCCATAGTCTTTCATACGCATCATAAACGATCGCTGATGACACAAACTCAGCCGAAACTTGTTGTTTATTATCGAAGGAGTTAGTGTCCCTTCTAGTCAAATTTTACAGTGTTTACACTTATCTTCTTATACATATATTGCTTTTTACTATTTATAACATGTTGTTAAGTTTGTATGGTGTCTCAAGTTTATACGCATCACTACGTTTTCTAGTCCTAGATTAGGCATTTAATTTATAGTTGGAAGAGAGATCGTTTTATTTGTTTGTAACGAATAGGTATTTTAAGCCAAAGGTGTCATTTGCGCGGGCACGATATTTAAACAGTGAGAACGAGATTCTCAAGATCTGTGAAGCCATTTTGTCTTCAGAACAACTAACGTAACATTTATAAATCGCATGGTTTAATGTGCAATCATTTATAGATGATCCTGATTCGTTAAGGCGAAAGCGACAAAAGTTTAATAACAGTCCAAATACGCTAGTATTGAGGCATGTACAGGCAGAAGCTGAAAAGCGTGAGTATTTTTTCTGAAATTGTCCTCAACTCTACAGCTTTGCCGGGGATGGGGTTTCAATGGCGTCAATGGCCATCGTTGCACTATATAAATTGATCAAAAACTCCATTGTGCTACATTATGTCGAATTGCTGACTCTACTTTTCTCTACCATAACTAATTTTCATGTTGACGTTTTGCTACATACTTTATACAAAAAGAAGAGTGAATAGCAAAGCTGTCTCGGCGATGCCGGCAACGACTACCATTTTGTGCATTTTTTAATAGGAGCCTGTTACGCTCCATTTGTTGTAATGATTGTTCTAACGGATATAGAGAATTTGTTGTAAGTTCCGGAGGTTTGGAATATATCTTGTACATTTGGAAAATGTTTACGGTATTTTTATGAAACGCAAGTTTACATTTGTCAAAATATCAATGTTTCAGCGTTCTTAAATTACATCATGTACTAACCACAGAATTAATCCAATCTCCTTCACGCATTGGGAATTGCTCAGTTTTAATGCTCTCTACATATATTGCTGAATATCTCGTGCGTTGAATCGCATCGAACAGTGCCTAATTGTCTGTACAAACGACACGGAACAATCGTTTGGGGATTCCCACTGTGCAAAGGAAGATATCTTTTTCACGGATTAGAATTTCTCATTATATTAAGAAATACTATATACATATATATTTTCACACACTGACGAGGAATCTTATTTTATACTTTTTTAAGAACGTATTTTGTATAAACATTTGAAATTTGTACTTGAATGTTTGGAGAGCAGTGGCCTTGTACATTTTAAAAAGAAAACTGTATTTTTGTAATTATTATCGGTAATTACGTAGAATCGATGATATTTTTATATCGATTGACACGATAAATTCAGCGTACTATAAAAAATATGGCTGTATAGCGTAAGTTTTAATAGTATACAAGTACTCTGCTCTCGTTACGACAGTGTTGTATTTAAAAACTCAGCAATATACTACTACAGGAACGGAAACAATGTGCAATATTTGTATGGGTAATACAAATTTTTATAAGCTAATTCTTTTAAAGAGGAAAAGCTATATCTATATATTGTATGACTTACATATGCATAATATATCTATCTATATACATGTACAATTACTTGATGATTAAAATATCGTGTTTTTTTATTCCGCTCCCAATCAATTTCAGATTGAAAGAATAATGTATAATGAGACTCGCAGGTACGACATGACAACATTAGTTTAGTTTGCTGATTTTTTCTAATCATGTTGACTGTATTTTTTATTACAATACGAAGTACGATTTTTTTTTTTCTTTTCGAGTGACCTTTGGAGTGAAAATATATAAAATTGCATGCATCATCTTCATAACTAATTCTCTGTTGCTTTGACACGTTGCATTTGTTGGCTAATATTTGTTTCTCTGTGTAATCTTTGTACGTTGTTCCTTTCTAATGTAGCGTGCATGGAAACCTAACATTGTTTTATAGAATATCGTTGTCACATTGTAAAGAAACAATGTCCAAGACTGAACAAGATGTCGAGCTTGTCGATGAGACTATTTATTTGTTTTATCGGATTATAGACGCTGCCATGTTGAATCAACCGATTCAATACGATTTTAACATTATCAAACCGGAACCGATGGAGAGGATAACTCCGTATGGGGGCGCGGTCGCCAGTGGGGGGTCTTATCCATTGTACCCCATAGGAACAACCTCTCCACAGTCCCAGTCTACGATGCAGACTCTGAGGCAATTCAGATCTTTTCTTACAACTTGAAAGTACCGTGCAGAAAAATAATTTACACAAATGCATATATGTGTACAGGCCTCAGGTGTCTCCTGGTCGCACACCATCGCCATTGGAATACAGATACAACGCGCCTCTTGTTCATCCACAATTGTCACCTCAGTATCAACCGACAAACAGCCATCTGATGCAACCGCCGTCAACAGGAACTCAAATTCCACAACAATATTTATATGTACACAATACGTTACACGCACAATCGCAAGAACAATTAATATTAAACAATGTGATATCCAATTATCAAGATGGATTGCAAACGTTAAGCAACACTGGTAATATAAGCAGTTTATGGGGTGTAGCGTCTTACCACCATTTTGAAATTCACGTGTTCTGATGTATTCAGCAGGTGGAATAGAAGCAACAGATGCCACGAGCGTTTTAGATATGGACAGTCAACAGTATAGCTTTGACTCGAGCCTGAATCAACTCGATTCGGCGGAACTCGCCGCTTTTGGTACTGCTCTCTCTGAGAACTTATCCAGCGGATTGTCTATTTCAGATACTAACAAGGTACGGGCAACGTTAACAAATTTATGCTTAATCGTTTCAACAATATACAACGATCGTGAAAATAAACCCTTATTAAATTTAGCCTGGGACTAGTAAAGGAGCAAACACAGAGGTGAGCAATGCCGAAGAAAGCAGTAACATGACGGACAGTTTTACGCGAATTACTAACAGCACCATCCAAGAGCTGTGCACTTTAAATAGCATGTATAAACCGAGACGGCAAATTGACGATTAAAGAGTTGTAAATTTTATTGGTATTAATAACATGGTGAATCGATACGTTGTATAAAACGGGATCCGCTGAACGGGAATGTTTTGTAAGTAATATACTGCAAGAGTAATTAACATTGGTTGTGATAAAATTTCATCGCCTATCGTACATCGTTGTGAAGATTAGCGGTTACCTCCGGCGTAGCCTTACGAACTTTATCTCGAGTTGGTCATTTGTTTTAAACGTTGTGAATACTTTTGTATAATTTCTTTTTTTTTTTTAACATAACGGATTAAAATATTTACTAATATATAAAGTGCTGTGACTGTGATCAAAGTGTACCGAAATCTACACGCTCCGACATGCATGCAGTGTCTCGACAAAAGGACCGTAATTATATGAAATAAAACTCATAGTGAATAAAATACATTATGTATTGTAGAAGACAATCTGCATGCAGTATTCGTACAAATAATTCGTATTTAAGTAAGACACACCCCTGAACAAACATTTTTTCTTTCTTACACGTCTTGTACGCATATACAAATGTTTGTCTTTTATTTTTTACACATTTATATTTGCTACAAATTTGTTTGTAAATATAGTTTTTATATTAGGAGTTATTTCTAAGCACAAGTAATGCTCTACTCTCGAAAACTTCGTGTGTTCCGTCCAGGTACGTTGATTCATCATTAAACAAATTTCTGTCCCGGAACTTAGGACCGATATGTGTATGTAATTTTACGATTACGTGGAAAAAGAAACGTTGAAATGTTACATCTGTACTTTATATTTTTTCCATCGTAGATTCTTATGTACACAAATACTCGCGATTGTAATAATCCCAGTGTCAGTTACCAAACATCACCTTAAAATCACTATAATTACAGGATATTTTATAAACAAAATATCTGATACAAATAAAACTATACGTAGATACATACATTTACTACATATAAAGTTACATCTAAGAGTACATTATAAATTTTACAATTATATGTGTAAATAAACATGAATATTAAACTTTAAAAATATTTAATTCAATGTATCACATATCATTACGTACACGTTTTATTGCAAATTGCTTGTTAGTATTTACACAGCATTACACAGATATAAATTCTTAATTTGTACGTATATACAAGATAAGTAAAAACATCGTTATCCTAAGTATCGTTAAAGGAACAAATTGTTCCAATTATCGTAAATATAATTATTTGTAGGGAAGAAGACTCGTTCCTTCACAAATACGTGAAGAATAAAAAACCATTTGTGTTGTTTTCCAAAATGTATTTACTTAAAAATACAATGAAAGTTCAATTCTGATGGAATGGGCAGAAATATAGTCTGTGGTGTCGGTTACTGTTACGTCGAAAGTGATGATGCGATGGTATCCTGTACAAAAGTAGTTTGAACAAGACTTATGAACACACAAACCAAATTCTTAGCCTAAGATTTCGTTTACGTTTAACCGTGACAGGTGTCGTTTACCAAAATTCATCAAGTTTTTTTTTCCTTTTTTTTTTTTTAATGCTTACCTAACAAACGTAGGGATGTAACGGTATCGGGGCGATTGGCCTGATTGATTTGTAAGACCCGTTAGCACCAGTAAATAATTTTCAGTCACGTTGAGCACCCGAGCAGAGAAGAGTCCCGTGATCTCTGGCTACCAAGTGCAAAACGCGAGTAACTTTTATTCCATTTTGGACATGTTGCAAACGGGGCTCGATATTAATAAAATTAAATGGACCTATACTTATCGTGTATGCATTGTATACTATGAACGCTAAAGTACTTATTTTTGCTCAGGCACCTGTACTTTAAGATAGTTCTTTGTCAACGTGATCGTCAAGGTACTATCTTGAAGTTAACACGTGTAAATACAGCAACGGATTGTGTATAAAACTATAGAATAACAGAGTTACGGAGATGGTATGGCCTGTACGCAATTGATAGACTGCTAATTACGCCTTACGCATTTGACTTACGATTCGGACTTTTATTGTTCCTATTTATCGTAACAAATCGAATAAATTGGTTTTATCGTGTAAACGTTACACGGGTCCATCCCATCTCCTTTGGATTCAGTGTAGCAGGATACAGTCCATAAACAGCAGTTTTCTTTTTCTTAAACACTGCCGTTTCTGTAATTTGTCTTCGGATGTAAAACCCATTACTACTCACGAGAACGAATCATTTTCTCTGATCTAACTGTGTTTTATTTAACTATCTCATTCGAAAATATTTGTACATTAAAACGTGGGACATCGTCTCGCATTCAAATTATCGTTACTTTTATTTATTATGCAGCTATGGTACAATGGTATCGTAACCGCAATGTCTCTTCACCCTTTCTTGTCTACCAGTCTCCCGAAATAAGTGGTGACATGGACAGTCCCCCATTTGCAACGGTCCACCGACTCTGGCGCAAAGAGTATCCTTCTGTCGTGGGTGATCAGTGAATAGCGAAAACTCATTAAAAAATTATGTCACACCGTCTGGTTATTTCCACGGTGATATGGTAATTAATAAGACACTGATCACCGTGTACAGGAGAATTAATTCGTAGTAAAGAATACTGTCACTCGTTCCGCGACAGTCAACGAATCGTTGCTCATAAGCGGTCCATGGCAATAAAGTCAAAATAAAACCACAGTACATACAATACAAATGAATTACGCTCGAATAAGAGCAATCGAATAGGGAGAGCGGTGGATTTTTTAATCGTTCGTCGGTTACTCGGCATTATTTTCAACGATTTTTGAAATGCACTGCGCGACAAGTCTCAATTGTTTGCTACGTGAACACAACTTACATGGAGTATAAATGGAATAGCTTCTTCAAAGAAATAAAATATATTACCCTGCGGTAGTTGCACCTTGTATAATAAAGATTCTCTCCCTATTCTGTGCCCCAAGCCTAAAATGTAACACCACCTCTCTCCACATTACATTACGTTACATAATATTATCGTTAATAATAAAATGTTTCTTATTCCATAACTTTATACATGCTATGTATAATTATTATGCAATGTTAAAGTCACACATTACACATCCACACTACCCGGCGCGAGCGTTGCATTAACCTTAATCCCAGTTTTGTTTCTTTGAATCAAACAGGAGTACGAAGCAGTTTTAAAGACTATTTAAAATCCCTCTCGGTATAGTATACATCGAATATCAAAAGGGTGTCCTCTCGACTTTATGCATTCAATTATAAATTTCCTATTTTTTCTTGTTTTCACGCACCCCTTGATTAATTTCAGTGTTTTTTTTTTTTTTTTTTCTTATTTTCAGGCGCTCGCACTCCCGCAACGCCATCCATTGCAAATATACGTATAGATCGAGAAAAGGAAAATCAATCACGCGCACAAGGTGAGAGACATTCGTCGAACTACAAACGTAAATTTGATTTCAAATGTAAAAAAATCACCCACAAATGTTCATTTTACACTATTTAAATACAATAGAGCTTTTTTTTTATATCTTAAATAAGTTTCCGTTATAAAACTGTCCCGCGAAGAAAGCCAGATGATGGCAAATACCAGATAGTAGGTGGTTTGTATAAAACGATAAATCCGCCTTGGGAACGTTTTGTAAATGTACCCCGGTGGACGCGCACGGCTGCGCGATCAAGTACTTAAGATATTAAACGGAATATCGACGTTCGTTGGTTCCTCACGGCGGATGTATGGTTTTCTATTCAAACTACCTAATAGCATTTTGGTGATGGCTAGACGACCAGAATTGCGAAGAGCCAAGACAAGTAGAATTGCGGTTGCTTCTAATGCGTGTCAGCCCACCGCAACTCCGGTGAGGTGGTAATTTTTATTTGTAGGTCGGGAGGTTCCAGCAATACGGTTTTTCGGGCACGATGGATTATCAACATTGCTACCAACCACTCAATATGAGAGTAAGCATTTTGCTGAGAAGACTGCCGAAGATCGACAACAACGACGACGACGACACCATGTGCCTACCTCCTCCTTTCTTACTTACATACCTCCTTCCCTTTTTTCATTATGCGTCTTCCTCGTCATCCTCCACTTCTTCCACTTCACCTTCTACGTCGTCCTCCTCTTCGTCTGCAAACAGAAAAAGGAAAAGTTACGGGTGAAACGCGTGTTTACCTGAGCGGGGAATATCGATTCGCGGTGCCACGCGAGCCTATATAATCCCGCCGATAACACAGATTCACGAAATTACTGAAAAAATTCGCCTACCTTCGCCCTCTTCTAAATCCTCCTCGCCTTCTGGTATCATGTCGTCATCGTCATCGTCTTCCTCGCCATCGCCGTCTACTTCCTCCTCCTCATCCACCTCCTCCTCTTCTATTTCCTCTTCTTCCACTTCTCCGTCGCCGTTCTCCTCCTTCTTCTGTTTCTTTGTATCATCGTTCTTTTCCTAGAAAACGAAATCGTCGAATTACATTTTCGGTAATTATTTAGCAATATTTAATACACGCTATATGTATACACCGACGGAATATTCACGCGCTTGTACTTTTTCTAACGTAAACAAAAATAGAAATTAACCGCTTCCGTTTGGAATACCCGTTTCCGTATACTCGAAGTTAATCGCTCTAGAAAGAAGTGGGAGAACTTCACGGATAGGGGAAACCCTGACAACGACCGAAAGATAAAGAGGAGGGGAAGCACAAACGGATGAAGAGGATTCCCTTCCCGCCAAGAAACTTAAGGACATGGAAAGAAAAGTAGAGGGGACCTTCCGTTAAAATATGGCGGAACAGGAAAACACAAAGAACGATAGGGGGGAATTATATTCGCTAGAGAACACTGTAGGTACTGAAAGGCTACTATTAAAAGCAGTAAACAAAAAAAAATACACCTCTGCGTGGGCATAATTAAAGTCGAAACAAACACACGATCGCCTGTAAAACTAAAACCTTAATAAATTAATATTTTTTGTTAACGAGGAACCTTATGTTTTCATAAAAATTATATTATTTCACTTTTCTTCGCTAAACGTTTGATTTGTTTCATTAATTTATCAAACTGTTAAACAGAACGTACGCGCGCGTGTTTGTATTCGTAACTTTTTACTTATTCTTAATATAGGAGCTGGTCTCGTTGAGATTCGATCTTATCAAGTTGCGTGGACGAGAAGCGCAAGATAAACATGGAGGCATATATCGAATCGCGGTTGTGATAAATGAAAATGAACGGGACAGTTTTTAAAAAAAAATATACACGGCGACATTGCACGATCCTCGAAATGCCGCTACACCTTAAACTCGTGTTCATACAGCGTTACTCGAGATCGGGGTGGTGGATCGTCGTAAAGGTATACACGCGCGCCGTGTGTATTGGCGGCATGAGGAAAGAGGGCATAGAAAACTCGCAGAACTGCATCGTCCAATCAAAGGGAGGAATCGACTAAGACTGAATGGAGGGGGGAAGCGTAGGGATTGGCAGACGCTACGACACATGTTTGTAGAAGGGATGTGTTCGTGCTGCGTAAAGCGGACGAATGGGGAAGAGTGGGGAAAAGAGAAGCACGAAACAGCGTGCCCGGGTATCGTGCAGAGCCTAAGCAGCTATGGTTTGAAATAAAGTATGAAGTAAAAAAAAAAAAGAAAGAAAAAGAAAGGAAAAAGAATGTGCGATCTATATTTCAAATTGCAAGAGCAAATAAAGCGCGCGTACGCTGAAATAAACGAATTCCGGCACTCTCTCATCGACGGACGTTAAAAGTTTGTATCATCGGGTTCGCGTCGCCTCAAGGTAACCGTCTCGTATTATCAAGCATCTTTATCAAAGAAACGTAATATCTCGCTTTATAAACTAGAAGACTAAGCATAAAGTATCGATATCGTTTGTAGTTGATCGTGCTGGTAAAAGCAACGGGAATACTCGACTTAATAATATTTACAAACTATTACGCGATGGTACACAAACGGGATGTGTATCGGTCACTGGAGTACTACATACGTGGCATATAGTAGAACTGAAAAAAATAGCTTGTAATTCATGTGTCTCTCTGGAAACTCGACGCGCTTTCTTCGAACTAGAATTTGTTGGCAACTACGGCCGCTATACATTCATGGCGTTGTCGGATAGTTCACAACGAACAGTAAGTGACAGTGACGTACAGGCGCCAGTGGTCACGAAATGACGATGCCGCCTGTTATCCCACAGACACGATTACCTATCGTCTTGTTATTAATCACGAGGTCTTAGCAGATAACCTAACGTTCATAACCTATCGTACAGACTCATTTTCGCTCGATTCTCTCGGCCGTTCGGGTAAGCCATGAATAATCGTTATATAATTCTTCTGTAACGCACATTAATTTGACCATGTTAGTTAGAGTCAACAGAAGCGTCGCGTCTCCGTTTCGTCGATGAAAAGCATAGTTGCCCATTCGAGAGGAAAGAACTAGTTGGAAGTCGTTAAACATAGAAGGAACGCGTAATAATAATTCGAGCTGAGAATAAACACGTAATTAACGATCATTGCAACGAACGTCTCTCCTATTAAGTTCACCATCGAATAAGGTTAAATATATTGGAAGTAATAAGACCGATCGAAAAATACCAAAACAGTTACACGTTGCGTAAAATAATGCAATAACGATCCATGAATTGTTCGCGTGATACTTATGGATCATTACTTGTTTCGGCCATTTACGAAGTATCGTAAATCATCTTAATCTCTTATACGAAATTTATTATGTCAAATGTGGTAACTTTATGATTCATGCTGGTGAACTGGTAGGTCTGGCAGAAAATACACGATATCAAACTGGTACGCTTAAATTTGAGCCATTCGTAACTCCCGCCTTTTTCCTCTCCTTCCACGTTCCCATTAATCCATATGCGCTTGCGTCACAGGGTGTCTACGAGTACCAGATAATGTTAACGAATTTACTACGTGACTACGTAACCAGAGTACAACGACGATATACATATATGTATATCAATCGGCACACTGAAAATGAATTTCACGGCTACGAATACGTCGTAACGTTCGTAATACGAAAACGAGTAGCTAAGCGTTATTGCATTCTCGCTTTTCGACCGATGTATAAACAAACATGGATAAATCGAAATAATGATAACGATATGGTACAATCTGTTTAGAAAGAGGTACACGATCGTGATTTCCACGTGACATACTCTTACCGCTACGCGAAGAAGACGCCACACCGCGAACTTTCTACAATACGTGCCGACGAGAGCGTAGCGATACCGGCATTTTCAGCAACGAGTTTCACCTCGCGACTCCCATAATAGAGACGGTCGTACAACGCGTATTATCGACTAAAAATAAGCTGCTCCTATCAGGACACGCTGAACGACGTTCCGATTTAAGATGAAAAATCGCGTCAATGTTTTCTCAAAGGTTTGTAACGCCGCGCGGTATACTACGAAAGAATAGGGAGGCAGGAGAGACACGGGTATATAATACATGGCGTTGCCGCTGGCTGCGCGCGTGGGGTTCTCGAGGGAAAGAGAGATAGTGAGTCGAACACCGGTGGACTCGAGGACAAGAGGGGAGAGAGAGAGAGAGAGAGAGAGAGAGACAGAAGCAAAGCGAGGAAGGAAGCCTTCGGTGCGGTGTTTATGCACGCAGATCGGTAAACAATTTCAGAGCAACACGTCGACTTGAAAGAGATATGTGTTGGTCTATCGATCGTCCGTCGGACACGATTAACCCTCTTACAACGAATTATCGATCAATTACGACACAGAAAGGGAGAGAGAGATAGATATACAGTAACAGAGACGAGAGGATGAAGGAAGGGAGAGAAGATGGAACGAGCGTGAGTGAGATAGCACAATGAACGCGGGCTTGGTTTCGGGCGCCATAATGGAAACCCACGACGGTGGTGGTGGTGGCGACGGCGGTCGGAAAAATGCGCGGGATGCTCGCTTTTCCTACCTATGACTCCGATATTCTAGATTAAAAATGGCGTCCATCTTGTAGATATATTGTCTTAGCATTGTAAATCGTACGCGCGACGGAACCCTTTCGAAACGTCGCGTAACCTAATACGTTACAAAAACGTATAATAACGAAAGCATACGAAACGAGCACATGGCGCTAGTAGCCAAAGATCCCGCCCGAATTTTGCATTCACTTTATTAACACGGTACGAATGATACGGAGTCAATTCCGATATTAGCTGGTACCGTGAAATCCAGATCGGTAATTATAGACGGCATTGTAAAGACAGGGGTGATCAACCGAATGAACCATCGTGTTCGTGGCAGCCACGCGAAATACGATGGCGTCCCTCGACTCGGAATTGGAAAAACATCACGCGTTTCGTATACCATGCATGGGAGTGTTTTGGGGGGGGGGGGAAACGAGGGAAAACAGTTATGTTTCCCAACACCACGAAAATATGGAAAATGCCGGCCGGCGTTCTATATCATTTTCCGCGTCGTCGATCGGTTGAAACGGGCTACTCGTTTGCCCGCCCACCGCCAGTTTGTTCCCGAGAGTACAACGATATCGCTTACAAACTTTCAAGAGCATGTTTCCACGGAATATGAAATGCAACGAGTATCCACGCGTAGGCTCCGTGAGCGGGAAAAGTCAGACGACGGGAACGATCACGATTGGAGAAGTTACGATCGGCTCCGTGCATTACGAATGCGATGATTTTCGTGAAATCGTAGATGATGCCGTGATCGAGCAGCGTGGCGCGGAAGCGTGGTGTAAGCCGGCGTGTAGTACATACGTGCATTTCGTGTGTACGTGTACGGTTACGTACTAATCGTGATAATTGATCATGTAAATGATATTTCGAGAAATCGTGTAGAAAACAGAAAAAAAAAAAACAAGACACTGCTCACCTCGGCCGGCCTCTTGATTCCTTTGATCTCACACTTCGCGTCCCCCGAAGCCTTGTCGTTCTCGGTCACCTTCTCGACAACGACCTCGTTGTTTTCCTTAGTGCTCATGGTGGATACGTGCGCGTTGGGCAAGATGCCTGCGTGTCCGCTTACAAAACGGTGGAAAAAGATAGAGCGGGTGCGTGTGTACACGTAACGAAACTCAGTGTCCTCGCGCGGCGTCGGTTTCCGGCGAAATGCCCGAGAGTGCAGCGTCGTCAGGCGAAAACCCAAGGGGCAAAGGGGGGAGTGAGAGAAAGAGAGAGAGGGGAAAGGAGGGTGAGACAGAGTCGAACCAGTCAGGAGTGGAGAGTGTCGTGTACTGACGACTGTGGCGCGAATAGCGCAAAGCGGACTACTACCCGGTCTCGGTTCGCTCCTAGCACCTCCAACCTGGCTTTGTTCAAAAATGAAGATGGCGCGGGTTTGAAACTCGATAAATGTCTGATTGGTTGAAATCCAAATGCCCTTTCGGGACGTGTCACTGCGCCCAATTAGGAACGTAATAACGCTACGTAATCTTTTATTATTTCTTGTGAACGTTTTTCACGTAATGCGTCCACATGACGTATAAATAAAATTAAATCCTGCGGAGGACGAGGGGTTCGAGAGTTCGTGGCCTTGGTGTGCCGTCTGGTTCGAGGCTAAGTCGCTCGATTCAAATATGCTCCGACGCTGAGAAACATTTATATCCTTTTTTGACGCCGCCTTCGCGAAAAAAATCGATAAATATACCGTGAAAAAGAAAAATTATATACGGGGAAACGGAATTATTTTTACGTGTATCCGAAATTCATGGCTCGGATCGCTTCTTGTCAGAAAGCATACTCCGGACATCGTGGCGGGAATTATCCTATAGGTAAAAGAGTCAGACTTTTTGAATGACGCAGTCGCACAGCTGTCGCCCAAAATTTAATACCAAATGTACTACTTTCTGGATTCCCAAAATTTATATTTATATAGTGCAGTCTTTAATCTCGGAAAATATGTTCGAATAGTTTTGATAATCAGATTGGAATTAATAGATCATGCCCGATACAAAATAATTTAAATAACGATATTACATCATTAATGTGTAACATCATGAAGAAAGCTCAAGCGGAAGAAGTATAGTTATGTTTTAGTAGCATGTGTTTGTATTTTATAAATTTATGTATCGTTCTTTTAATTTTTGTCATTTTGGGTACACAGGAATGGCGTTACGTTGTTAAAATAATTAATTATTTAATAATCGTAAACAAAAGATAACAAAAAAAATATAGCATAATTGGTGTTATTGATTGGACATCTTATATGTTAAACCGATTTTGACGCCGGCTGTTAATGGCGTATATGCAATTGAAATTTTATATTTGAAGGAATTAAATACAGTTGTACTCTTTTTTCTAATGACTTTATATGAAGTGAATTTTACAGATTGGTATCAAGCTAAGCATTAAATTAATATTTATACGTTTAAATGAAAAAAAAACCATTACATCTCTAAATTTTATACAACGTATAATAACATGCGCATGCGCATTATGTGTATACATGCCAGTTTCCGGTTAAAGTACATTTCCCTTTCTTCCTAAACATCCAAGATGGTAGGTAAATCTTCGATCGAAAGTATGCGTATTTCATCTAAAATTATGCATGTAATCCATGAGCAATGTCGCTTCTAAGGTTCAGTCTTGTGATATAGATTTCATTTGCTGAAAAATGAATGAAATATTTTACTTTTCCGTGAAATCGTGTAACTGTTGAATCAGTGTTATTATAACCTCAAAAAGTGACATGAGCTATATAGCATTTACTTTATTTTTCTAAGTTAACGAAAGATAAGTATAACAAACACATTAAAGAATAACATAATTTAAATTATATAGTTTAGTTCTATATTTACGCGAAACCGAACCCAAAAGTTACGCGAAATTATCGTTAATGTAATGTTCATTTTTATAATTTCAGGTGAACGTACCAAAGCAAAGGCGAACCTTTTGCAAAAAGTGTAAAGTACATAAACCCCATAAAGTGACACAGTACAAAAAAAGCAAAGAACGACATGCATCGCAAGGTAGAAGACGTTACGATCGTAAACAACAAGGATTTGGTGGTCAAACCAAACCTATATTCAGAAAGAAGGTTTGTAAAATATTCATCAGTTATTATTCGACGTTACTTCAACTCTAGTTCATTTATATTTACACCTCCTGATGCGAGTGAAAAATATTATTTTATAGTAACGATCCTCCATACTTTTTATAGGCAAAAACCACAAAGAAAATTGTCTTAAGAATGGAATGCACAGAGTGCAAGTACAGGAAACAAATTCCTCTTAAAAGATGCAAGCATTTTGAATTAGGTGGTGATAAGAAAAGGAAGGTAAGTATCTTGTGTTCAATCATCATCAAAAGATTCTTTTAGGATACCGAGCAATTATCATCGATATTCTTTTTAGGGACAAATGATCCAGTTCTAGGGTGAAGTTATGTACATTAACTTTCTATGTGTATTTAATATGAAATAAAATAAATCTTTCGAAATTTGTATAATTGTTTATTATATCAATTTATATTTTATAATGCAAAAATATCTTTCATGCTTAACATATAAACGTAACAAAGTATTTAATCTCCTTCTTCTTGTTTCTTAGAAATTATTTGCTGAGAATTGCTGTTAAAATAAAACAAAACAAAACTATGTAAACATACCAAATACATTGCAGGGTGAAAAGTGACATAGACATTGCATGGAAAGAGAAATTAAAAAGTATCATTTCGTTATAAAATTATATTACAGGTGTCCCTCGAGTTACCTATAATACCCATTATCTTTTTTATTTAAAAACATTATATATTTTCTTTTTAAGTAATATTGCTTCAAAAACTCGAGCATTGCCGCAATTTTTTTCCGCGTAACTCGAGGGACACCTGTATTGTACTTATGTTAATATGTCTATCTGTACTTCCTCTAAAAATGTCATAATACTTAAAAAGTTACATTTACAGCAATTTTTATTGTCACGTCTTGCTACAAGCTTAAATTTCAAAACTTATTTAAAACTTACTCCAATACAGATGGGTCCAATCCCTCTTGTTTCATCTTTAATTTAACTGCTTCTTTCTGTGCACCAAAATGTACCAACTTGAAATATCCCTCGTAACGTGGGTCTTTGCTTAATGGTTGTTGCTCAGTCTGTATGCTTCTAGGCTCATCTTCTGTAACATTATCAGGTTCATCTATCTTGGATACAGTTTCTTCTTTCTCTTTAACGTCCTCATTTTCCACAGGATGTTCAGTCTCCTGATGATCTTGTTCCAAACTAGGAACAGATGACAACTGCAAGAAACACTCAGATTTAAATTGCAAACCTTTTGAATCGTTCAGATTTCAATTCTTACACATGTACATACCCAGGATTCTAAAATTTCTAGCGATGCTTCTATCCTTTGTAACTTATTTTCAAATTCAAATAATCTCTCTTCGCATGACAATGCAAATTTATTGAGGAATGTTACAGTATGCCCAATGAAATGATTTATGAACGATATTGTTCGTTTTTGGTTGATTGGTGGAACCTGAAATTAAAAAAAAATGAAAATATAACTGTCCAAGAGTAATGCAAAAGATCGATTATGCATCGAATAATATTAAAGATATTAAACCAACGTCTGCACCTTCGTGTAATCGATAGTCGGTTCGATTATCGGAATTTTGTAATCATTCATTGTATTTTTTCAAATGTTATTTCTTGTGTTTGTTGACCAACTGTCAAGCGTCATAAACTTCCGACGCATTGCTCCCACAGATCATGTAGAACTCATGGTAGGGTGGTGTAAAACTAGGAACCAAAATTTCTCAGCTATAGCGGGGTACGTACTACGTACAAACACGTATTCGCCTGTGAAACACTCTGCAGATAACGTGAAAACGGCGGGACGTTTAAAAGTGTTTAATATTACAAACAATTTAAGAATTTCCAAGTTCCAAATGCCTAGTGGAAAATATCGCGGCCAAGATAACTATTTTTCGTAATTTAAATTCATTAGTATATCTCGTAATCGCGTCTAGAATTTCATCGAAGTGTAATAAAACGTTAAATCGTAAGAATGAAATCCTTGCTGGTGCACAACAATTCTCCTAGTAAAATTCCGCTTAACAAGGATTCGATAGTTTATGTAACTTTTAATCTAGCTATTTATCCGTAAACGAAATTACATACAGGATAGACAAAAGAAACATTTCCTTACCAGCGGACATCTTCCGCGTTGTACGCGGTTTTAGGTGACTCCGTTCAATCAGAATTTAAGGAGCGAAAATCATTTGTTGTAAGTCGATAAAGCAGAATATGCGCTGACAGCGTGAACGAGAACTTTTTAGTGGCTTTACAGGTTGGACTTATAGGTTGGATGTAGGTCTAGTAAACGCGACTGATCTGTTGTCAGTGGGAATTAACTGTATGGAGATTACAGGGAAAAGGATTATTTTTTAAAGTATGGAGTCACCACCTGACCTGGAAGCTGTTTACCAGGCTGTGTATTCATTGTATAATAATTCGAATCCGTCGGGGCCAGGGAAAACGTCTCAATGGTTGGACGAATTACAAAAATCGGTAAGCTGTTCGTTAGCGGTCTTTCAACCAGCGTTACCATATATTTTCTGATATTATATATTTCCCGTGCTCTTCGCGCTATTGTTACGTTGATCGTGCAATCATTGTTATATATCTATAAAGCGACTGTACAAAATAGCAATTAAAAAATGTTAATGCATGAAACGGTTTCTAACCTTACACTGTGCATTGTTATTCACTAAATTGTAATTATCGACCGATATTGCACGGAATTCAGACGCAAAGATACATATACCAAAGAATTGTAATGTAATTGTTCTGATATTAATATATTATTTCAGGTGTTTGCATGGAAGATAGCGGATGAAATGTTGCAGCAGAAGCGTGATGTTCAGTCTTGTTATTTTGCTGCACAAACAATGCGCACAAAAATACAACTATGCTTCCAAGAATTACCTGCAGAGGCTCACATTTCTTTGAGAGATTCATTAATGAATCACATATCACAAACTAATGAAAATACAAATTCAGCTATTGTTACACAGGTTCCTATGCTACATAATATTTTATTCAGCAGACAATTTACATGTCTATTTTCCTCTAATTCAAGACAATTATTATTGCAGTTATGCCTAGCATTGGCAGATCTAGCACTGCAAATGTCTTCTTGGCAAAAACCGGTTGTGGACTTAATTAATAGATTTGGTGGGTCCACAACTAGTCTGTGGCCACTGCTCGAAGTAATGACTGTATTACCAGAGGAAGTAAATTCACGATCTCTTAGGTACAAAAAGATCATAGACAAAAAATTAAAAAATACCACATTACGAAAATATTTCGATTTTGTTAAATTAATTTTTAATTCAAATTAAATTGTACAGACTAGGAGCCAATCGCAGACAACACATATTACTTGAACTAAATGCAAGTGTAGATACAGTAACAGAATTTTTGGTGGGTAGAGAAAGAAGATATATTTAAATTAAATTCATTCTGTTTCACGACGCGTTTAACGTGTATTTGATTTTCCAGAAACTGTGTTTAAAAAATGGTGGAGATAATGTACAAATTCGCGTTACGATTCTTAGATGTTTTATAAGTTGGATCGCAGTGCATGCTATACCCCTTGTACCTACGAGCGACGTTATTGTGTATACTCTCCAAGTGAGTATCTTAAACGGTTGTATTTAACGCGAACAAGATATACGACGATATACATATTTTTCAGATACTTGGAAACCACATGATTGGATCTCAATTACACGAAGCGGCCGCTGATTGCATATGCGTAATTTTACAAGTACTCGAAGAAGACAGTAATAGCAATCGTGATAATAATAGCGAATCGAATATACAGTTACAACAGTTGCAACTATGGCTTTTCACTAGCGTAATGGCTTTAGAGCAGCCGTACCATTTATCCGTCGCGCACGAAGACATGGACAAGTAAACTTTCAATCTTTTTTTACGTAGTGAGAGGGCACAGGAAAACTGAAGGTTACCTTAAATATTTACTTGGTCATTATAAAAAATACTGTTTAGGTCGATAAATTATTGCCGGATTTTTACGGAATTAGCTGAAACTTTCTTGGAAACGATGATAAGCGGCTGCGTGGGAGGAAAGCAACATTATGCTATCAAAATCCTTGACCTTGCCTTGGTATGTGTTGGACATCATGATTACGAGGTATATATTCATTTTCACGTTTAATACCAATCGCTACTAGCAATTACTGAAACAGTATTATTCGTATCAGGTAGCACAAATAACTTTTAATCTGTGGTACCGTTTATCGGAAATTCTCTACCAAAAAAACAGCGATGACCTTAATGCAGTGTTCCGACCTCACATCGAGAGATTAATCGGGGCGTTATGTAGGCACTGTCAAATGGAACCAGATCATGTTAGTAATCACGTTTAAAATGCTGTAACATTTTTTTTTATACTAACATGAAATATGTAAATTTCTTTCGATAGCTGGGTCTGGTAGAAGAGGGTGCTGGCGGCGAAGAGTTTGCGGATTTCAGAAATCGTGTCTCGGAGTTAATAAAGGATGTCGTGTTTGTTGTCGGAAGTAGTCACTGTTTCCGTCAAATGTTTTCCTCCTTGACGGGTGGTCCAGGCCCACAAGGCCAAGCCAACCATGTGCCCACGTGGGATTCGACCGAAGCCGCGTTGTTTGTAATGCAGGCGGTTGCAAAAAACATTTTACCGTTAGTTTCACCGCGCGGTACAATGCTTACACGGAACGTTCCCTTTAATTCGAAATTTATAATAACGTTTATTTGCAGAAAAGAAAACGACGTAGTTCCAAAAGTGGTAGAAGCTATTTTAAATTTACCTGAAAACACACACATAGCCGTGCGTCACACAAGTATCCTTTTACTAGGGGAACTTTGTGAATGGATAGATAATCATCCTCAGTCTTTGGGTAAAATTTTTAGCGATCACGTTTGGTATTTTGATACATTTTTTGCTCTGTTCGTTAATGAAAAATTATCGTTGTAGAGCCTGTTCTAAACTTTCTCTTGAGTTGCTTGAGCCAAAAAGGTTTAGGAAGCGCGGCTTGCAGCGCGTTACTGAGCATATGCACAGCCTGTCCGTTGCATATGGCGTCGCACTTCCCGGGACTATTGCAAATTGCACGTTCCCTCGACAGTTTTGCTATCAGTAACGACGCAGCCATCGGTTTACTCAAAGGTGAGATAAAGTATTCGTTAAAGTGTTTATTTCTTAAAAAAAAAAAAACATAGTGGGATATCTTTTTTTTTTTATTCTGCGATAGGTGTTGCATTAATCATGTCTAGTTTACCGTGCGAAGAAATTACCCAAGCGATGAAGGAGTTGTGTTGGTTCCAAGCTAGACCGCTGTGTGAAATTATGGAACGTAGAATTCCAATTGAAATAGGAACAAAGACTGATCCTGTGATATGGTTAGATAGATTAGCCGCTATATTTAGGCATACTGAACTTCGAATTAAGTATCCTAATGAACCTCATCCGTGTCAGAGCGCGGTCACAGAAGTAAGTTTCGCAATTATTAACGCGTTTTCGCGCGATAATGAGGGATTTATTATTGAACACAGATGTGGCCGATATTGTCAAACGTATGTACGGCATATCAACATGACGCTAAATTGATGGAAAGATGCTGTCGTTGTTTGAGATTCGCTGTCCGCTGTGTAGGAAAACATTCCGCCCATCTTCTCGAGCCACTCGTAAAACAGGTATTCAATCGCTTAGAAATTAAAGTCTCATACCATTTTATTAACTCTTTACGAATATTTCAGATCGTGCAATTATACGCAGCGCATCAACACAGCTGCTTTTTATACCTTGGTTCGATATTAGTTGACGAATACGCCACCGATTCAGAATGTGTCTCTGGTTTATTAGCAATGCTCGAAGCATTTATTGGGCCTACCTTTAATATCCTTCAGCAACAAGATGGACTAAAGAATCATCCTGATACGGTGGACGATCTTTTTAGATTATGCGCTAGGTACGTAGCCACGACGTTTATGGCATAATTAAACGACGCGTTTATTACTTCAGCGTACAAACACGTTTATTTTTAACAATAGGTTCCTTCAAAGGGCGCCTATTCCCTTATTACACTCGGCTATAATAGGAAGTATAATTGATTGTGCCTTAATGGCCTGTAGTTTAGATCATAGAGACGCAAACGTTTCGGTAATGAAATTCTTTTACGATCTTGTACATTGTGGACGTAATTATGAGGTAATCAAAGAGAAAATATATCTTGTATCTTTATTACTGTATAAATATTGATGTGTTTCCGTTTCTTCCAAGAAGCGATCAGATTATACGACACGACAAGTACTGGTACAACGTATATTAAGAGAAAAAGGACAAACGTTAGTCGTGAGACTGCTCCATGCATCCGTATTCTCACTACCAGCGTACATGTTGTCGGACGTAGCGGACGTTTTTGTTGAACTTTCTTTGACTAATAGAGAAGTACGGAGCACGCGATGCATTTCTAATTAAATTTAACATGCATTTTACATTTAAAACGATGTTCTGTTCTTTAGTTGTTATCGAAATGGTTAGAAGAAGCCATCAAAATGATGCCCTCGCAAAACGCAGGTGGCTCCCCCACGGCGCAACCCGAACAATTATTTGAATTTCATAGTACTGTTACAAGGTACGTGAAAGTATCATTTTTAACGGTTTTTTTTTTTGTTCTCTTTTTTTTTTTTCTAATGCAATTTTTCCATTTTGCAGCGCGGACACGTCAAAACCCGTAACTCATGCCTTACGAAATTTTGCACGCTTGTATCGTTGATGCATTTCGTTGTAAAACTAAGGTTACGAACGTCAAAATTATAAACAGCAAAAGTCTTGCAGGATCCTTCGATTAATCAATACATTTGAAGGTATCAAAGACACAAGATTACTGTAAAATGGTGAGTGTTACGGTGTATAAATGTATTTACAAAAGTTTTCAATACTTTGTATTTGTTTACTATCTACACATTCCTTTGCAAAGTATGTAAAAAAAGGTAACAGTTAGCGTTCCCTTCTTGTAAAATAAATTTATTAATTTTACACAGAAGCAATGCATTTAGCGACACAGTTTTTTTATCGCGAACATTTCCCCCCCCCCGAATAATTACTACGAAACGAAGAACCTCATTTCACGCTACGTGCTTTTAATTATTTTTAGTAATTTTACGCATAGTTTTATCGTATTTGTCCCCATGGAGAGTGATATCCGGATTACCTATTACATTAGGTATATATCTAGTCAATTGTAAAGGTATTCAACATTACGCATACTTTGTAGATAACGTGCAGGTAGTAAACATTAAAAAAAAAAAAGAACAGAATGATTATATATTTTCGTGCTTTCCATTTTATTTACACAGACAACCTTACAATGGAATGCTATTAAATCCACCCCCCTACCCTCTTATAAAAAAAAAACTCTCGAACGTGTGCTATTCGATTTGTCTCTTATGGTAAACTGAATTGTGTTAGGTTACATGATTTTACAATTACATTTTTAATACTCCAACTATCCTGTTACGAGATATCACTTCCAGACGTGAGTTTTCTTATATATAACATGGAGAGCAAGTAATGTAATTTACGGAAACGAATTTTTAGTGATCGTCTAGCTTATAAACTTACAAGACTTTACGTAAATAAGAATTGAATACAACACGGACACAAATCGATCGTGTGTATGTATTTAAACAAACAAAATGAACGATATGTATGAACTTCACCCGATAAAGTGTAAAGCTTATTCACATTTGTGTATCTCTTTCATGTGTCTTGCAAAATATAATTTTATAAATGCCTAGATCACGTTTAAGGTTAATGAGATGTGATATGTTACAATGGCATCGTGAAACGAAACATATGTGTCATATTTCTATTATACGAATAGACATATTTCGAAACGAATTTCTTAATAGATCTGAAACATTGTTAATGTTTAACTTGTTTTGTGCCCCCGGTTGTACAGTTATGAGCATATGTTTTGATTCATACCGATATCACAGTATGTACACATGTGTAGGAAATTGCGCGAGTATGCCGGTGAATCTGATACAAAGGTATAAGAATGAAACCACGATCATTCATTGGAATGCAAAATAAGCAAAAAATACACTCATTTTACACGATAGATAAATCTAACTTGTACAAAATACTTTACATATACGAGACATGTAATTTTTTGCAAAGCGTTAATGTACAGTTAAGGTATTAATGAAAATAAGCATTATTATTGGTAAGAATATCATTTGTAACGTAAGGTTGAAACTGATTAAACTGTACGAATATTTTGATGACTAGTATTAATTTTAGCATTTACGGTAATGTTTCGCTTTATAATAACAAATTTCCGACGTATTTCAAATAAAATGATATTTTTTACTTAAACGACGAATATTTAATCGTAATTAAAATGACAATAAAGAGATTAACAATTACGTAAGGAATGTAACTCATCGTCCTTCATTTTTTTCTACGATTGCAACAAAAATATACATACATACATACGTGAAGAATGCAGAACAACGAAACAACTGCATTCCGCGAACGTACCGATTTGTAATCATTTCGATGAACAGCTGCCAAAGTCATTCGACGAACGTTCGCGATGATTTCATCGAATTAGAGAAATCAAAAGCTTCAAATCTATTTTTATATGATGATTACACCCCGGGGAATAATTTTAATGGGGGATTCTAGAGGCCAAAATATGACGAAAATCAAGAATACCAATTTGTTGATGGAGGCTTCGTTAAAAAGTTATTAACGTTCAAAGTTCCGCCCGTACTGAATTTTTTTCTCGAAAATGCGCATGATTTCGGGGTTATGTCTATTCACCAAAAATGATTGCAATTGACCCCCGCAACCAAAAATAATTTTTCCAAAACGATTTGAAATTTTTTTTTTCTATCGAAAAATTTAGGCACAAAATTTTTTTGGGTCCGGTTTTTTATTTAGTAGGTTATGGCAACTTTGTTTTTTCTATCTAGGAGAGGTCCGATATTGTTCGCTCGATACTTTCGTTTAAAACATTTTTGTTCTCTGGTAATTACGCGAATATAATCCCTGCGCACTTTGCAGGTAAAAAATTGCAAAGAAAGGGCCTAATGATAGCCTTATGGCCACACCGCGATTGTTCTGCGCGATAAAGGGTGTTTCTTACAGGAAACGAAGTACTTACGAAACGAGATCTTCCCGAACAGCTGTGCAATAAATTGTTAAGTGACTGGGACTGTAAGGAACATCCCATGTACAAGGTGAATTCGAAGATATTTGGGTCGTCGAGTAGGCTGCAGGTGCTGCCTTTTTCAGGTTTTAATCATTCTTTCCTGCCGCGTGACCAGGATATTATACCGAATAAATTGTAATATTTTAATATCATTAAATTTTGATTATGAGGAACTTGGTACCCTTCGTCGGAACGTTCTTATACGTCATTTCCATGGTTTTGTGTTACAATTTTGCAATGTGCATCGAGTAGAAAGCGGTGACGGTCGAATACCTTTGTATCGAGTACCGGGAACAGGTATCCAATGGTTCTAGCGATATGCTCATGATTCAGGTTCGATGCCACGTCTTCTCGAGACATTGCTAGCAACCTCTGGGGCTCTGAGTCACTGAACAGTTGTGTTATGAGTCACACACAGTCGAACCTTATTGGCCAAGGAATTGGTTTCTAACAAAGGAATGTTGTTGCAACGCTTAGCCGAGTATGCGAGGGTAGAGATACATTTTCGTTATTTTTTATTCAATTTCGGTTCGCAATGCATTCTATGCATACAGTGAGTCACAAAATTATTGGCACGGATATAATATTTAAAAAAAGAAAAAAGGATTTCGGTCGTAATTAGTAATTATTGGGTGTCCATAAAGTTTAGAGATCGATATTCATTGCGTGTACTATCTATCGATGAATCGTCTTTGTATTGCTCGATCATTGACGAATACTTGACGATATAGTGTGTTGTGTTATCGTAGGTATCATTCACGAAACATACGTTGCATGTACCTTGTCGATGTTCGTTCGAGCAAAGTGATTTCTCACACAAGAATGCAGAAAGGAAAAGAAAGAACACGATTCCAAGAATTTCTTCCTACTCACGGTAGATGGCAGACTTTCGTTGAACACATTTGACGAAACCCTAATCCAACCCCGCTAGAAAGACGCGAACCGTTAGTACCTTTCGTCGACGTTACCTGTAATAACAATGCTTTACCCAAAGCATTGGTATTTTGGCCCCCGGGGCAATAATACCTCTGATTTTCGAGTAATATATCGTTTTGGTTAGTAACCCTTCAGGTACGGCGGAAATTGTAATTTTGACTAAAACGACGGACTTTATAGGTTATAAGCAGGAACGTTGGCGACTTTCACACGTTCACTCTGTCTAATAGGGATTAAATTTCTAAGATTATCTTTTTGTTTTAACTATTTTCATACATTCAAGAACAATTGTTTCCAACCCCCGATTTACTGTAACTATGGTAATAATATTTGATTGGAGATCAGGTTCGACGGGACTCTAGTCACTTCTCGATTAGAGTTAGAAATTGTCGAGTATCGTTCGCCTCTGCCGTTGACGCAGACTTCGAGCGGGCGAATGTTGCATTTATTGCTCGGTGAAAAAGAATAGAAACTTTCGATAAGTGCGAAATCATTCACCGTCCCTTGCCAACGGAGCCCGCATTCTACCTTCTAGCCGACAATGCCATTACCCTCGATTCTTCCGCAGAGTCCCTCGTACTAACATTTGCTCGTGCAGGATGCAGCACGTAACTATCGCTGAATTCACCCTCTCTCATCGACGGCGACGGGCAGCGGCGCGTTGCCGGGCAACCAGACAGTCAGACTGCTGTCTGCCGATCTGCCAGGGGCGCGGAAGACCGCGACGAGACGAGACCAGACCAGACCAGACCAGACGAGGCCAGAAGAGTAGACAAGCGCGGAGGAGAGAAGAATCGAACAGAGACGATACGAGAGTGGTGTGAAGGGGTGGGGGACCGGGTGTAAGGCAGGTGTAGAGGGAGTAAGGTCGTCGTTGGAGGGGTAACGCGACCATTTGACCGTAGGACGGGAGGAACGAAAGCTCGCGAGAGAGACAAGGGTGGACGATGTAGCAGTAGCAAAGTTGCAAACGGTTGTGAGTGGTAGTGGTGTTCGGCGTGGCCGTGGTGGGGGATCAGTGGCACGATGGTGCATCGGAGGGACAGGGGAAAGCTGGCGGGGCGTCAGGGGCGGCCGGGCTAGACGAGTCGAGGTCAGTTATCCGCCACGCCCGACGCCGACGCCGTCGTTCCGGCGCACCGCATTGCATTTTCGGCGCCACTGCTGCCGCTGCGTATCACTGCATTGCCAATGTTCACTTTTTTTTTTTTCCACTCTTTCTTACTTCCCCTTTCCACCCTGCCCCTTTCCGCTTCTGTTCATTTCTCTCTTCTTATCTCCGCGTTTCTTTCTCCTTTCCTCTTCGTGCTTGGCTCCTACGAGCATCGTCGCCTCGTTCCTCCCTTTCGGCTCTTCGTACGCTACCGCAGGTTCATACTGCCTACTTGTTCATCACTGACGTCTAAACTACGGGCCGCCGCATCGCATAGTCGTCGTTTTGTGACGGAACTGGCCGGGCAAAGCGAAAGGTGGATTCGTAGCAGCAGAATTCTCAATTTTTAGGGGAAATCGTATCGTTCCGTGGACGGTGTCCTATTTATAGACACCTCCTCGTAGAAATTGGCACGTTTCTGATCGTCTGCAGTGTCCAGACGACTTAGAATGCACGTCTACCAAGATTGACCGGTCAATGCGCGAGGACGTTCGCCGTTAATTGTTTTGCTTACAGAGATTTATGTTTCTCGATCGTTCCGAGATCTCAGCCGGGTTTAAAAGACTTTGTTAAGAGAGGCTCGGTCGAGTTGGCTGTGCGAGGTTCGGAGGATCGTACTTCGGTAGCGTGAGTCATCAGGATGACGCAGGATTCGCAGAAAAAGTTTTATGGAATATTTGCTCGAGAAGATATTGAGTAGATATTAGGGGAGTAATTCGATTTTAATTATATAGCCTTTAAATAGAGAGTTCTTCGAGACGCCTTATTTTTTCAAGTACATCAATAAATTCTTAGGAATGTTCACGTAACGAAACAATTATTAGAGGTAGGTGATTTTTTAAGTTGTAGATTGATACTTGTATCTATGTCCCTGTGAGTGTCCGATATCACGACACGAAAGATATAAAAGCCGTTAAAGTATTCGCGATACGCTTAAGCTGTCTCGCGCTTGTCTGGCCGCCTAGTCAGACTTTGTCAGGGTCGTTCCAAAGAACGGGCATCGCGACGATCGTTTCATATTACACTCGAGCTTGAAAAAAGCGGTGTTAATAAGATAAGAACATTGCTCCCTATCGTCTTTGGGGTACTTACCCTTTTAACATTTCTTTTTGCAACAGAAAAAAAAATAGAAGCCATTCGATCGTCAGCATATATTTTACAAAATGAAACAAGAGTTGTTAGCGTAATTTTACATATGTAAAATGTGTGTTCGCAAAAAATTTAAAGGTATTTAAGATCGGAGTTTTTCACGAGAAATTGTTTAATGCTCGACGAAGAAATTTCAATGGCCGTTGAAACCACAATGACTGTACAAGTGTCTTTTGAGTTTTACACGAATTATTAGCATCGTTTAAGACCATGAATCGTTAAAAGAATCAACGCTGG